GAATTTGAATTCAAATTCGTGCGTGGCACCAATCAGACTTAGGCGCTGATCTGTGGGTCCTGAAATTTGGCATGGAGATTAATTTAGCATGACATCGCCGCAAAAGGAGCCGTCAACTCCGCAATTATAATGCTACTTTTCGTTCAGAACGTGTTGGTAAATTCGCCACACTTCAAAATGTCCTTAGTAATTAAAGTTTTTTTAAAACAAATGGGGGAAAATGATCTTCTAATGGCGCGTGCATCCACGAGGATCTGAAACTTAGTACTTGTAATTGTCCACGGAGTTAATTTAAATCAAGCGATCATAAATCGCAGAATGATAAACAAGTTTAATGTTCAAATTTCATGGGCTAAGCTTGCCTCAGAGTGACAATCTTCATTGGTCGAAAAGCTGTAAATGTCATCACCCACGTGATTTCCTTTTTTTGCATGAAGTGTAGCGTGGACGGGGCAAATCACGTGGTCTGGTGATCTGGATCAATCGCAATTCACACCGCGACAGTTGCAGTGTCCCCCAAGTTGTGACATCAGGCAGGGTTCAGCCTAAAATTACGAGATTTTCAAAAGCTAAGTGCCGTTTGCAGTGCCAGGACAAAGAAAACAGTTTTACGATAGTGCAGGCATATTTGAAGCCAATTTGCGTTTGAATTCGCATACTCTTCCAGCTGGTGAAGTTTTTACATTAGGATCTTTGGCAAAATAGCTTGTGTGTTTGTTTCATTTTTGGACTTCGAGCCTGTGTGCGTTGACGTAGTTTCAAATAATATTAAGTCCGATTTACATCTAAAATATGATATTTTGTGCTTACTTTCCCGCGATGTCTCCTCTCAGAAATGCCCTGTTTCAACAAATACCCAGTAATGCGTTATCGTGACGTTCATCAGCTGTGCTACGATTTGGTAGTAGAGTGCCGTCATAGCTACCAGCGTGTCAGAAATGATCAGACTTATCACACTGTCGATTTCTCATTTTTTGAAATCAAATTTTGTCTGTGCCTGTGTTATTCCGCTAAATTCAACAGCCAATCACTTTTGATGTGGAAGATTCCAAGTTCCTCAAAATCAGTGACAGCCACTTAATTGTGTTTTCAAGGGCCTTGCAGCATCTATGCTCAGCTTGATTTTGAATTTCGAAATCGTGTCTGCCGGAGAGTGTGCTTGTGGCAGGGCACCAATCACCGCTGAGGACGATGCAATCGATACGCACGATGCTCACATCTACCTTGAGAGCACAGCCTGAATTAGCTGCGCAATTGTATAGTTCTGTTTCAATAAATGCATTTTCTTGCAGTTTAAAATCTGAAAACAGCTGAATACAATCAAGACCGGTGATTTTTTTTTCAGTTTTTCGGTGTGTTCGGTAATAGTTTAATGGTCAAATTAAGAATCGTTGGTTTTGTGGTTGATGTTGGATGACCCATGGCAAAATGGGGTTGCCAGAAAACCACTGCACCACATCACGCAGCCATCATGGTAGTTGTAACTGAATGTGCCGTAATTGGAACGACGTTAGAAAGATATTTGATTCAGTGGTTGATGTCACGAATAACCAAGTATTTCGAAGTGAAACACAGCAAATTCTAGCTTCTCCTGAGCCCCTCTAAAAAGAACTAGTGGCATCTTCGGGAATTTTATGAACTGCTTCCACAAAGAAGGGATTTTGACAGATGGTAGCAGGTGCAATCGCGGTTATCTGTCGTTGGATTTTAAAGGTTGCAACGAAAATGCATTCATTACCTCGTACACGCTTAATTGCACAAATTCGAAGTCTACATTTGAAGCAGACTGCTTTAAAGCATGTTAAACTACAGCTTATTGACTCGAATCAGTAAAACTACGGCATCTTTCCTGTTAGTTAACATTGTGATTCATTCCAGGCTGGATAACATTTAAATAGGCATGTAAATTTCTCATGGAATCCAGATAGACCGACGCAGTACTCCGGCTACTCTCATTGTAACAAATTACTGATATTATATCTTAAAGCCTCTCGTGATGCCAGTTACCCAAGACAAAATATCGGTGTATTAATAATGTGGTCCAATTTAAGTTCCCATTTGTCATATCGTCAATTTAATTCAGTATCCTGAGTCACAACTTCCGATTTTTCTTTAAAACTAAGATTTTTATTATTAATATTCATAACTTATCGTGTGAGTTATAAGTTTAGCCCCATAGCTTGGCCCAGGAATCGTGCAGCGCGCATTTCGCTCACGTTCGGATTTCCCAAACTTTGAAAATCAACCAGCCAAGGTCGATTTGGTAGTTAGTCGAGGTCGATTTGGAAAAGTTACAGCAAGAAAGTGGAAGAGTCGTTTGAATACCCAAAGTCAATTGTCTTTGGTGTATTGAAATTGCGTGTATGCAGCTAAACCTCATGAGGGCCTGATAAAGTTAGGCCTTTGTAAATGATTAGGTCTGTAAAAACGCTTTAATATCAGTGAATTTTTAGAGACGGATCAATGTACGGCAACTACGCTTCCTGTTAAATATCTGTGCACAATCAGTTATGCACTGACGGTCGATAAATTTGTTCCTTACATGGACACGCAGCACCAGACGCGGGCTAAATCTGCAGAATTGTGGGCACTTGGGTTAAATTTGCCGGTAAATTCATCACCATTGATTATTGGATTCTGATGCAGCTTCCCACACGCAGGCTTGTGTTCAGTGATTTAGGGTCCTACTAATGTCTGTAGTACGTTGCATTTAAGTTAGTACAGACCCCCATTGCCACAAATACAATCCATATATATTTGTGTCCATGCAACTCGATTTGCTAAGATTCTTCTTGGTGTACTACTAGCTACCAGTTTGTTAATGATAGACGATGTGAATCAATTAGATGTAAAATCTGTAGTCTCCGCATCCCCAATTCGATTTACCCAATTCCTATTTTGCAAACCCGAGTCATCGGAAAAGTCATTTACTTTAATTATGAAGACATTTAGCTAAAATGTTTTATACTTTTAAAATTGCCGGTTTGAGAATGACTTTCTACTCAGTTGCATCCTATGGATCGACAACTGGTACCTAGATTCAGGTTCCAGTTGAATATCGTGGAAACCGACTCGAAGAACCTTATCATCTCGGTCAATCCAAAGATATGGTGCGAATTTTTAGATTCGGTTGCCATGGCAACTTGTGTGTTCGTTGTTATGTGGTTGAGATGTTCCGAAAAAAGATTATTTTGAACAGAAAGCTTGATGCTGGGACCCAGTGAAACTGTTGAACTAGAGCGTGTCAGTAGAAGCTTGCTGTCTCACAACTTCGACATATACCGCACGAATTTTCCACTGTTTCCAACAAGCCACAATTAGGACAATGAAAAGATGGTAGTAAATTGTGAAGTCATTGTGGTGTTCCGACTTGTCCGACTTTCTAAAAAACTTAGTTTCCACTTTTACCTCAAGAAATAGGAAAACTGAGTGACTGTCACGTCCATTTGAGGTGTCTAAAGCTTAAAATTTTTCCTAAAATAGTAATATTTTTTCGATTTGTCTGTGTTTTTGAGAGGATCTGACGCGAGATTTCAGGACACCGAACGACAAGTCTACGTGAGTTACGTAGCCTCGCAGAATAGCAACTAATAAACAGCACACTCGATGGCACTGCATTTTATATTAGTCTCGACAAGGCGCAAACGTTTACAATTAACGTTCTTATTTTTCGTGCCTGAAATTCTATTAAAAATGGAATTATTTTTCCGTTTTTTGTGATTTTGGAAGGATCTGACGCATTTTTTCAGAACGATTTCCAGGAATTAATAAGTGCTTCTAAACCAGGGGAATCGATTTGCAGAGTTATTCCTGACGACGCTGTGGCTCTGGAAACGTTTCAGAAGTGGTGATTTTGATCTTAGAGACCAACTACGTACCGGACAGAAGCCTAGAAAGTTTGAAGATGCGGAACAGCAAGCTCAACCTCATGAAGACTCAACGCAAACGCCACGATTGCTTGCAGCAGCAGCTTAGTTAGGAGTCACCAAACTGCAGTTTCCAAGCGTCTGCACTTTCGGAATACTTGTGTTTTGATTTAGACAGCAGTAAAGTCGACGTTGAGGCTACAGGGATCGTGTTGGTCTTGTTGTCCCGTGTTCAGAAGATTCATTATTCATAAATTATTAAAATCATTTTGACAAATATAAAAGAAACTAAACTATTATTTGGTTCCGCCATCTATTTTCCTTTTAAAAATCGTAATTAAGTCGTGGAAGAGTGACAACTGTGGCCAGTCAGAAGAACCATGCCTGAAACACAAATTTAGCCATTGGCATCAGCGACTGACTTTAGAGCTGTAGTGAAGCCAAATTACCAACGTTTAAACCTCAGAAAGGCCGAAGGGATTTAAGCTCAAACTCCCATTTAATAAATATGCGGGAAATCGCGTTAAAATAAAAGAATGGCTTCGAAATTCTCTTTTGATTGACATCTAAAAGTCTCACTTAAAACTCGCAGAGACATCTACGTGCTTCAGTAAGCACGAAAACCTGAGTTATAGGAATTTGAAGGACTGACGCAGATTCGATTTACTTTAGACATCATTTGAATGCATGGATTGCAAGATTGTCGATGCCTCGGAATTTAGTGGCACTTCCGAAACCGTCTCAAAGCCGGTTCACTTTGGCTGAAGCACCAATGGATTCGGACCTTGATCATGCGACACTGAGATCAGCCCAACGCAGACAGGAGAGGTCAAATGTGCCAGTTTGAAAGCCGTGTTCATGGAACCAGCCTTGATGTCGGTCACGCGCACGACATTAGGGCAGCACGCACGCTCGCACGTACGCACGCACTAGGTGCGTGCACAATTGCCGACAATTGACTAATCCACACTAACGCCTAGCACCATGGTAAGTATATATAGGGGCGCGTGTTGGTGTAAGCGCTGTTTCCATCATTTTCTCCTGTGTCCTACAAGTGTCGGTGAAATCCCGCTTCCGGTAATTAACCACCCAGTATAAATGTGTTGTTTCCATAGTTAAGATAGGCAAGGCGAAATGTGCGCTAACTGCAAACACACGGGCTGTTGGATATTCCTCGGTGTGCTCTACTTCGTCGCGACCTCTTCGCAGGCTCAGACAGTGTCCTCGTCAGCGACTTCTGGTTCCAATTCTGCGAAATATGACTTGAGCACACTGTCCTTGACCTCGCCAGAAGTCGCAGCACTTATTAATGAAACGGGCTCGGTAAGTGTTGGTTGTCTAGTCCGGTAGAAGTTTGTGGTGGTGGCCTGGAGGTAGCAGGGTAAACCTACTGATTTTTCATTTTGTGCAGAAAATCACCTCAGACGATCTGGTGGCCTTTGTCAAAGCTAGGAATGGAACAGACCGAACCATAAGTCATCAAGCACTCTACGACTTCATTTCGTCATTCAATGGCACCGTGAGTTGACGTTACTTCGTCTGCGTCGACGCTGCTGATCACGGGTAACTTTGTACTTGTGTTGCAGGTTACACAAGAGGAATCTGACCACGGCCACTCGCACGAAACTGGAGCCTTCCAGGTTAAACCAATCGGTAAGCTGGCCCAAACCAACACCTCAAGGTCACCTCACCTCAGTACGCAAAAAAAACATTTAAACACCTCTCTCTCTCTCTCTCGCTAGTGCAACCAGCATGTTGAGGTCTTAAAACAGCGACCAGCATAATTAATTTGGATGGTTTTCTTTTCACAGTGTGGATCGCTTCGGTTGTGGCAGTGGTGATTATCAGTGCAGTCGGGCTTCTTGGTGTTGCAGTGGTTCCATTGGTGAACAAGAGCTACTACAACGACGTCATCCAATTCCTGGTCGCCTTGGCTGTCGGATGTCTGACTGGTGATGCATTTCTACACCTTTTACCGCATGTGAGCACTTACGTTGCCTTTCTCGCCTCAAAATTTAACAAAGTTAAGCACCATTCCAGTTGAAATAAGCAAGACTACATTTTGACACTAGACGTATGCATATCAATTTCTAAATTGACTTTGAAGGTCCACAATTTTTGCAGACATAGTTCATTGCTTTCTTACATATCTATTACGCTGAATGGTTTTTGTTTTACAATTATGCCCTCAATGTCAGGTAACTGATGAAAAATTCTCGCGTCCCTATTTGAATTTTGCACTATTTTTTGTGTGCAGTTAAACAAGCTCTTAATTATTTCGAAGTGGACCTAAGCAGGCGGTATTCAGTCGTTATTATAGTCTGAATTACTCCCGTTTCTGTTGATTTCAATCTCTGCGGCCAAAATTTTGAGGAAATTAACGTCTGACATGAGTGGTGAAATCCACACGTGGCAATTGAATCATTTAATGCAGCAACGCGTTTTACAACTTCGGACCACAGCTGTCTAAGCTGAGGAAAGATATTTCTGCTTCCACATGGGTCATTTATTACACGCTTACCGGAATGCATTTGGTCTGACGTCAGTTATTGCATGCTGTCTAGGTGGGTTCGCTGACGTGGCTGCAAGCGAACCTCCCGTGCGCTGTTACGCATGAATGGTCATTATCGGGTTAGACCTGTTTACTACAACAAATATGAAAAAAATCCGACTAAATTCAGGAAACCTGGAGGTCTGCGTGCCTCACAAGTCACCACGGCCACTTAGTCGGACCACGCACTACCCTCAAGAGGGTGACTGTTGAATTAGATGTTCTGGCGACTGTGATTTGTGCATATTTCCTGAACACACAGGCAATAGCAGGAGGCCACGAACATTCACGAGAGGGGGTATCAAGTGAGGGTGCGGCGGAGGAACGCGAGGCCGTACTTAAAGGACTTGTCGCTCTTGTTGGCATCTACTTCTTCTTCCTGGCCGAGAAATTGGTCAGCACCATCTCTGAATATCGAACCGAGAAAGCCGCAGATAAGGTGGGTTTCTTTCCTTGTAAAAAATCAACGGATTTTTCGGTAGATTTCGCTTGACATTTGGGATATTGCAAGTCTAAGACCGCCGCCTCGCGCATTTTAAGTACTATTCTTTGGCTCAGTTTAACACATTTTAAATCAAGTGAGATTAAAATGTGACTAAAATGAAAGTAGAAACGGAAATTTTCAAGAAAGATTTAAATTCTAACACCTAAATCAGGCATTTTGTGCAAAACGTAACTTCAAAAATACACGTTTTACCAGAAGAAAAATCTTATTTCATTAAGTAAATTTATTAAATGTTTTACAGCTCTTTCCTTTTTGAAAATTCTGCGGCCTACACGTGTCATTTATACTGAGAACATGGTTCTGACTTGATGCCACCCAAGGTGCAATAAAAAGGGCGGCAATTAGAAGGTCAAATTTAAAACAGCATAAACAACTTTATAATAAATGTTTGTTTTTTTTATTCTCTGAACTTTAAATGACTTTCTAGTCAAATGCACACGTTGAAAGCTGTTTCTGCTTCGAACTATTTGTCTTTATAACTTCGGCACTATTGAGCATTATCTGGGATTACCACTTCGCACTCTGAGAGCACTACCTCTCATAAGAAAAGATGGTATTATTTTTTTAAATACGCGGGTATAGGAGGAGCGGGAGAGAATTTTGAAGAATCCACGCAAGTCGACAGAGGGTATGCGACGGCTCAGCACCTTCCGCGAGTCGATTTCGGTGAACTCGTCGTTTCGTCGGGGCTCGCGATTGCCGCCCACACCCGAGGCCGCCAACCTTCGAAGGTCATCACGAGCACCCTCCATCATCGCTGACGACATTCTCACCACCGGACTTACGGCGAAAGGTATTTTCACCAATGATTTACCATTGGGTTACTGAAATTACAAGTCAGTTTTGTGGAAACTAGAAGGGTAAAGTTTCAGCCCGACACAAAATTAGTTTTGTGTGGACTGTCACCGCTTCAAACACCGCGAACAAATAGTTGAAATGCACATTTTAAAGATGCTCCAGTCGTACTGATGTCATACTTCTTATAACCTTTCGACATGAAGGAAGTTAGCATGTGCTAGTAGGCACAATTGGATCAAACCCACTGTGTCCCGAACCTTATTGTAAGAAGTACCAGCGATGAGTAAGAGGACATGCACTTTTTATGATGAGTTTTTGGAGTTCAAATCGGTGTATTGGTGCAGGAAATGCTTCCTGTGTGATCTTTAATTCTAGAAATTGTACCAACAACTTCTCGATGTTGCTTTTCCTAGTCATAATCGTGGAAACTCGTCGTATCGTTATTCGCAGCCTGTCCACTACACCGCGTTCTTATTCGCCAGTCAGAATGCGCATTTCATTTTGTGAATGAACGTGGGAAACTATTGGTCATTGGTCCATCAAGAATGCTTAATGAATTTCACCTACCTTTCTTAAAGGTTTGCTTTTCATTCGTAAACAAAATATTTTGACTTCATAAGGACTTGGCGGTGCATTCAGTCACCTCACTTTAAACAAAGTAAACTCAATTTTAAACAACGTCTGCATGTTGCATCATACCAACAACAGTTCTAGTGTGAAATTTTGTTGAGCGCCAATAAACTTTGTCCAGTTTCTCAGCATTTTCTTGAAGCTAAACGAGAAGATTTCAGTGCGTTTGTTTATTATCATTAAATGCATGAAACTAGGTTGGTAGAGGCGCCACGTGGAATGTGCTTCAAGTAGAGAGGAAGTCACCAATCACCGTTAGTTGTAAAACTGAATTGAGCGCCAATTTTCAAACGAAATGAGTCACGTCGTGCACCTTCACGGTAGACACGTAGACGAACAGTAGGCACTCATAGGGCAATGTCACTTTACCAACCTTGAAATGCAAAGAACAGGTAAAAATGCCAGATTCTTTGCCGGACATGGGTCCATGTTATTAAAAGATGCGCAGCATTCGTCCATTTACTCCTAGTTAAACGTGGTTCTGTTGAATTCCCCTCATTTGACCAATTGTTTCAACAAATCCTTCTCGTGAATTACGCGGTGACTGGAATTTGCGTTTACTTGTAGCCATGAAGACGGTTGACGTGCTGAATGCGTACATTGAGGAGGCAGAGGAGGAGGACGAGCAGGAGATGCCGCAGAGGAATGAATCTGGCAATCTCACCCTTCAAGTGCCAACTCTTAAGGTAATACCCGATGTCACCGTTACAGGCGACTCTCCCACCCACAAGAAAGGGACGGCCGTGTCTTCCGACAAAGACGGTCAGAGCAATTCCCTGGATCTAACTAGTACTGATGCCGCCCAGCCTCACGGACACTCGCACAATGTAAGCTTGGCTCGGAATGGACGATTGCAGATCGTCTTTGTGTGTCAGAGCCGTCTACATTCATAGAATGACCTCATCGACTAAATCTACAACGAAGGTGTTGATACGCGTTCGTATATAACTCAAACAAACTAGAACATATGTTTGGATTAGCTGGACGTCTACGTCTTATTGTCATGTGCGTTCTGAGTCAGCCATATTTAAACGAAATTCAAATTTATTTTAGCTTCTCTTATGGTACGCGAAATTTTCCCAACCAGACACTTGATCGTTCTGAATTAATGCCTCAAGTGACCGAGCTGATTTCCACTGGAAAAACTTGCAATGACGCGCAATTGGCAACCATTTTCCCCTAGTCGAGAAACAGCTTACACTAATTCACTTGTGGCAAATTCTCCATTTGTTTAAATAAACTGATTCCCAACATCCAGTAGCATTCCAATCATCAGGTAGGATACATCTGCGCATATTTTTGAGCGGTTTGCCTAATCCGAAACAAGCAGCGACTTCTAGTTATTTAGTGGAGGAAAAAATCACCATGAAGCTCATTTTGAAATTTAAATTTCCGCGTTTGTTTGAGACGCTCTTCCAGTAGGACTTCCGTTTGGCCTTAAGTGAAGCTAATCCCGGTGCTTTGTTCGCTTCTTGTAGCTTCCACGTTCCATGGCTTCGGTTGCTTGGATGGTCATCATGGGAGACGGTCTACACAACTTCACAGACGGCATGGCAATTGGTAAGTTTGTTTTTTTTTAAAAAAATGTGTTCAATGTTGTGTCTGCAGTAGGTTACCGTTGACCCTACTTACATCAAAGAACCCACATCAAGTCGGCCCAATCAGCGGTGTATAAAGTTGTTGTTTTTGAAGCGGTTTTAAGCAACCTTTAAATTAGACTGTACCTGATTTGTCAGGAATTTTTATTGACAAGCCCTGTTTTGTCACACTGTACTTTCAATTAAATCAACCCTGGGACGAAATTGTGAAACAGCCGACAATGACAGGAATGTCAAACAGACATCTAGTGCCGATCACTTAACCACCTGGGCAGCACATTTTCGTGATACGCTCAGTGGGGTCGTGCAGACAACTTGGTGGGTATTAAAAATCACCAGGATTGATTTGTACTTTAAGCACTTTCCATGTCCACCTAATGGGGTAGGAATGGTGGGACGATTAGGCCATTTTTGGACGCCGAGATGTACTTTAAGTACATGCCGCTAAGAGCGTAAGTTTTGAAAACAGCTGACAGGACGAGGTCACGGCGTGACAAAGGAAGGAACGCCAGGGGCCGTATGCCTAGGTTGTTTTAAAAACCTGCCTTGATGTCATGGCAACAGTTTGACCTTGCAGCCAGCCCCTTTTCATCTCTATCTTCAGCTTGGAACATCTGAAATTTTGTTTGTATTCGTGACACCGACCCTGGAAACAGTCCTTTAAAATGAGTTCCTGTGCTGAACGCGTTGACCAAATGCCCTAACTGATGTAGTCAAAGCGCATTGGTCGAAATGAATGGATGTCAAACCCTGGCAATTTTTGTTGCCTGGGTGAACAAAAAACCACACGCTAGCAGCAAGAATGTGATTACAAATGCAGGCGTAGATTGTGCTGTTTTTAGCCCTAACGGTTGCAATTACGCATAAAATTACTCCCTGAATGCTGATGAAATGTTTTAATGACCTGAGGCACCTTTTTCTTCCAGGTACTAATCACCGTATCCGGATGTTTTTTGTTGCGTCGTCATAAGTTGTGCTTAATTACACCACTTTTGACCTTAATCACGGCTTGACGTTTGAATGTTGATATCGTCAGCGAAATATACTGTTTGATGTCAACCCACGCACCCGCCTCTTAACGTCCACAAAGCGCAGTTATGCGTGGGTACAGAGGACTCTAATTCAATCTGTGCAAATCATCAACGCCTAGCCGTGTGTAGCAAGTGCCAAGCCTTGATGGATTATCGCTTGTTATTTTAGGGCTCACGACTACCACACCCAATTATTCAACTTCGGTGGTTTTGAGTTCCTTACCAGCTTGAAAAACGCACGCAAGTGGTGTCACCCACTTCCACTGACAATTTAGTCCGATTCCAGTTACCGTTTATGCAGTCCAGCTGCCTAATTTTCGGTAGTTACCATATTCCCTCATTGAATTTCGCTCATCTGTGTCACTACCTAACCCCTCTCTAGGGTAAACTCTTATTCGTTTCAATTACCGGAAGTAGTTAGTGCCGATCTGTGTTGGTACGCATCCGCGCCTGCAACAACAGACATTTCTTTGCAATAAAATTTGCCCTTCTCTGTCCTAGGCATTGCTTTCGCTGTTAGCATTGCGGGCGGAATCAGCACAACGGTAGCAGTCTTCTGTCACGAATTGCCGCATGAACTCGGTGAGTAAAAACTACAAAGAAATACGTTTTGTGCAGTGCTTACAGGTCTTCTGTTGCTGTAGCAACCACACAGTACAACGTGGAAGGGATTATTAAAACAATGCCATTTAATCCTAAATAATCAATGATTTGATTGGATGAATCGTATGTGCTAGCAAAGCAATTTGGCCAATGACTACGAAGCGATGAGCAGTCAGTTTAGTTATGTGTCAAAAGTCCTTAATAGAGATGATAAAAAATCACAAACTCTCTGCAGTTTAAATCACACAGCGAGATGAAAGGTGAAACATTGGAGAGCGTTGTGTTTGTAGAAGGTCGCAGGATTGTGAACCAACCAAAAAACCAGACCGTCTCTCAGTTAGAGATGAACGTGTTTAAACACGCAAATGACTTGTTTAGGGCACCGCCATGTTGTCTTGAGCCACGCCGGGGCCACTGTGTCGAAACTAATCTGGTTACGCTATCTTGAATATCCGTGAAGATGAAAACGACCGGAGGGGACGAGGCACAGTCGTTTACTAAACAGCCAAAACAACGTTTTATGAGGGTATTTTCATCTAAACCAGTTGCTGCGGCTTTGTAACTCGGGTGTAGGAAGTAGTATATGGTCAATCTGACGACTTCACTGCTAAGCACACTTTGCTTCTCCTTCACCTCAAGGCGATTTCGCGGTTCTTTTGAAAACCGGCATGGGAATCAAGGAAGCCCTTTTCTTCAACGTCGTCTCCTCTGTCCTCTGCTTGATCGGCATGCTCGTGGGCATCGGTGTAGGCAACGTCGAAGCTGCTTCCGCATGGATCTTTGCCTTCACCGCGGGCACCTTCGTCTACATCGCTCTAGTCGACATGGTAGGTCCCCTGGTCCTCTTGACTGTGCTATAGTCAAGCTAGTGGTATTTCGTAGTAAATTTAAGTAGCATCGGTGCATCTGCTAAAATTCAGTTGTTGCATTTTTTTGTCGTGGCATAAATCACCTTTTCCGGCGAGGCACCTCTGCGTTCCCACATGAAGCTGCCTTTGGAAACTCTTCGCTACAAATATTTACAAACGCGTTCATTCAATCTTCGTTTCCTTGTTGCTACGGGCAACCGTGCTGACCTTGGTAACTAGCTCGTGCTTAGCACTCACACATGGGCATCGCCTCAACTGTCGATTTCCGCTATCCAGCGGACTAAAATTCATCATCAAGTCAGATATTTGTATTTGTGAACGATTCAAGTCTACTAATATGCCCAACTGTTCAATTTAACCTGCCCGGTTGAGGGGTTGATATGACTTTAGACCGACTCAACGAATCTGCGGTCAACTCTTAACGAAGGCAGACATGATTCATAATCTATTCTAACACGCGCCACAAAACTGCAATGCCAGCTGAAGTGTTTGTCGACTGATTGTGCTACAATCTTCCATTATTATACAACACTTTTTGAACGCTTCTGCAGTTTATCATGCAGAACAGAGCTAAACTTCACGTGGTTTAGAGTGCATTTATCCAGAGTGTAGATCAAATTATAATCAATGGTTGTGTGTGACTGTGATTTGCCTCGGTACACGTCAGTGCCTCATCCACTTGTGGCTTACAAATTCATGTATGCATGAATTGTACTTCGTGTAGACGTAATCACGTTTGAACCCTATTCGTCGGTGGCAAATGCGTAGTTCTTGAGACTAGCTGGAAAACCATGAGATGGTCTTGGATAACGTATTGAAAATCCTTGTCTCACTCTGCCTGTCATAAGTAAACTTGTGGTTCCGCTGATCTTTAATCTTCACGAAGGTAAAACATGTTTTTTTAGTTACGATAAAAATGCCTGACATTATATTTCCAGGATTCCTATTTCAAGTTAGCATAACATTTTAATTGCTAGGTAGCTCTCTCCGTTCCAGGGCTGTAGGAATTTTCCTAGTTTCTTTAAAAAAGATTTTGCCTTTTCTGTGATTGGTTGCTTTTGTGGGCCCATTTAAGACTTTGATTGATCACAGACCACACAGGAATCGTTTTAAAATTTTCCTCCAAAACCTGTGATCTGCCTTGAATGTCTGGACAGAGACGTTGACGTTTGATCTCTGACTTGTGTCTAGTCAGCAATTTCGCAGCGCATTCATTAGACACAGTTGTCCTACCGAGTTATTGTAATTATGCGCAAACGCAAGAGCTCAAATTGGCGACGTTATTGCTAGAATGTGAAGTAATCTGTCATCTTTTTCTGAGATCGGCTCATCACTAGAGAGTAGTATCTGGCAGTTTTCGTGATTACCTAATACGCGTGTAAACAAGGTCAATATATACATACATTGTTTGGAGGAGGTTGCCTCACCTAAATCGCGTGCTCAAATGACGTCACTACTAAAGACCAGGCAAGCTCCGATGCCACCATTTCAGTAAATGCTTGCGTAAGCTTGCTGAAATTTATGGAAGTTAGCAAGCTCAGTTTTGGTCTCAGCGGTAAACAGAATTACATTTCAAACCAAAATCGGACGAGTATATCACTCGAAATGAGACGTCTTCTGAATCTAGCCTCACTTATACGAGGTAATCGCATGAAAATACATGTGAGTATTTAGCTATTATTGGTCGATTATTCGAATATGTGTATTTATTCGGCTTGCTCCTAATTTCACATGGTCTAGCAGCCATCAACGTCAAAATCTCAGTGTTTACGAGTTTTAAATGCGTCACTACGATGGTTTTCGGCGTTGCCAAAGTACAAACTGTCATCATCAAAAGAATGGGGAATCCTTTTTTTTAGAAATTGTCAAACACTAGCCCACAGAGTGACAGTGTATCGAAAGACGACTGTAGTGCCCTTTTTCTCAGTGAAGTAAACCATTCTTCGACTGAAACGTGACGAGATGCAGTTTGATGTGGTTCCACAACGACCCAGTGCCCACAAGTCACGTAGTAGTCTGGTTTTTTTAGTCTCAGACAAAATTACTTATCCTCAGTCGAGTCACCTTCCTAAATCCATTCCACCGATGACGGTGTGTGATTTGTAAAGATGCATGAAAATGAAGGCAGTAAGCAGACTAATTAACAATCCAAGTGGCCACCACCACACCCACCAACCAAGAACACGGTGAGGTGGACAGCAAGGCTTATTCGGGGTGTGAGGGTGCGAGGTGAAGCACTTGTGGGCTGGGGGCTCAGAGTGAGGACACTCACCATCTTGACGCAGCTAAGTTTGGACAGTTAAACAAATGTACTTAAAATCGTTTGTTTTTCATTTTCTGAAAATTGTAGTTACCGGAGTTAAGCTCGTTCCAGGTGAAACCTGACCAGAGTCGGATTGTGCAGCTGATTTTGCAAAACGCGGGTTTGATAACCGGGGCTGGCATAATGCTCCTCATTGCCATGTATGAAGAACAACTTCTGCATCTTGTTGGATAGATTGAAACATCATGATGCATCTGCCACGAGACCGTTCAGTGAACAAGACATCCCGCTCTCATTGACCTCCTTCTACTCGAGACATTTCATTCGTGAGCCTCCGTTTTACGATAATTGGTTTTTTTTCCTTTTTGTGTCGTCAATTTTCCTGCTAATATTGTTAACCCAATTTCTAAGCTGATGCCTTCCAAATGTTGTCAAAATCATGTAAATCTACCCAGTAAAATTGTTTAAAATGCAATTTTGTTTTGTTTAAAATTGGGGGTGTTTGTTCCCGTTGCGCGTGTTTTATATTTACCTATTTAAACAAATTTGCCAATAGGAAATCAAAAGAAGGCTACAATATGCGTCTGCGTAGTTTACTCAGTCTTAGTAGCATATCAGTATCCTGCTACTGGCTAAAACAGACTGTTTAGACGGAAAAAAATCTAGGAACAAGTTTTTTTTGCGACTAAACTCTTAAATGGTTGACGCAAGTGCCAAAGTCTATCGAATTTACGATCTGACCGCCTGATTCAGTGCCACGATAACTGGTATGAGTAGTCTGCTAAAAAGAACCAAATGTTTTCGAGAAAGCAACCTAGCAATTAACTTCACTGAGTTACTAGCAATGTCCACAGGTTGAATTCATTTTGCAAATTTGTGAACGAGGTCTAACAGGAGTAGTTCTTCGTCTGGGCGTTCAATCATCCTTCAAATGCTTCAGTTTAAATTGTGTTTAGATCGAAAAAAGGCGTGACTTTGTTTACAGTCAGCTTGAAGTGTCTATCAAAGTGGACAGCAGCCTGCATGCAAAATTTGTGTCCTCGTTGGCAAATGTGGGCGGTTTAATGACAAACAAAAAACAGTGTACTTAATTTGTTCATTTCAAACGGTTGAGGTGGTGTTTATGACAGTAATCAGTAGTACCGGATACAGACACACTTTCTGGTCCGGCTAATGCCAAGTTCAACGGTGTTTTTAATCCAGCATCCTGTCGTGTTCTCGCGTTCATCCAATGCTATTTCGAGGTTTAAATAATCGTAACAAAGTCTTCGAGGTCCAACATATACGGAAGGTGCGAAAATATAATTTTTTTGGGAAAAATAAGCTTGCTACTACTCTAACTGGACCGATTGGAGCACAATGTAATCACAAACTGTTTCTGCCAACGTCGCAAACATCCCTTTTGAGTTGCTTGGGATTTTTTATTAAAATTAATTGTTCTAGAAAATATATGACCTCAGATTTCAGCCCATTCTGTAGTGAACTTTTCTAGCGTTGAACCTGACATCATTGTCTTCCGACTACTTCGATCACCGATCGGCCAAAACTAAGGGAAAATCAATTTCGATTAAGGTTTACAAGATCTTTGAAGTCTGATGACAATTCCCTGGTTTCATCACCATTGTGGGCCAATTATAGTTCCCCCTTACTACAATTAATAATTATTGATGTCTAAAAAAGCAATTTCTTTGGCACATCTCAAGTTTCATGTCATTAATCGGAAGTTGATTTGCAATGCCAGTCCAAATTTCATGAAACAAGCTCTTGTTAAGCTGGCAAGTACTGCTAGGTAAAAGCCGGTAATCAGGAAACTTGCCAGCCGTTAGCAACTGTCAACCATAATCTCATGCAGACAACATAATGACACATGCAGCAGAGAAATAAGTGGTTTTGACCAGCTTGAAAAACAACCCTCGTCTAGAATGAGCACGAGTGAATCAGGATTTAAATGAAACTGCGTGTTTTCGCAAATTTCCGTGGGTTTAGAAGACAATATATTGGATTGCATTATTAACAGGATTGATATATCATATAGCGTGCCATCATTAACAAACACCAATATGTAATGTGCCAATTAACAGTGGATGAAAGTGGTAAGCAGCCATTTAACATTAAAGTGACCAGAACATTTGCAAGTTCAGGTAGGAAGGTCCGCTTAGATTACTTCAAGTGCTCAACGATAAGCTATTGGCGTAAAAATTTCATACTTATCGGAAATTATGCAAGGCAAGTCTTGAGCGGGTACGACATTAGTGGTTGCAACACAATGAAAGGTTACCTAGGAAAGTCTGTACAATTTCACATCGACACAATAGTGAACTTGATATTATTTATGTGGGTAGCTACGACAGTGAACAAAAATTCGTAAGTTTTGACTATGATTTACCAAAAAGTAGAGATTTGTCGAATTTCAGGATGATTTTTTTTTATTTTTAGGCTGTCATGAGCAAAACAGCTAGCTAAAAAACTAAAATGACATTGTCTGATTCAATGTTTTAACGTCACTGAATGGCTTAGGGGAATCGTGACTACAAAAGAGGCATTTAAACATTCAAGACAACTTCAATTATCCACATGTTGGAGTATAAACGAGTCCATCATATAAATTTTGTTGTTCATCTTCTCCATATCATCAAGACTTCCGATTATTCTTACCTTCGCATCAGATATAATTTAAGTGCAACCTCGAAAGATAAGTGCTAAATATAAAATAGACATATCTGCAAAACTAGGCCTCATAAGGTTGTATTTCTAGCACCAATTCATTAAAAAAAGTATTAGGTAAGCAGGCACGCATTTTACTCATGGGATTATTGATAGCGTTGAATAAGGAACATCGATAAAATACTTTAACTAATGTAACTTTATCTAAATCATAGAGAGGGAAAATAATTTGTACTGACATCATGTGGCTTGTGCAGAGTTTAAACCATGATAGCAAAAAATTACCTTACTTCTAAACTTAATCACGAAAAATCGAAACTAGTTATTTAACTTGTGTTTAATTCATAATCGATTTGACAATTAAAGATATAATTTATGACCTTGTAAAAAATCATCGCGCAAACTTAATAAAAGAAAACTTTTTAGAACATGGCTCATTGTTTTTGAGTTCCGGGTAAGGATCAATGAATTTATAAGCACAAGTGAACTAGACGAAATTGTTAAACTAAAGCCATGTTAGTAGATATTTTGGTGAGATTGTCTAAAAAAGAGATCTTTTGGTAGCAGGAATTCTCAATTCACTGAAAAATAAACTTTACAATCAAAAATTAATTTTAAAGTTACCAATTAAAAACAACAAATGCTCATCGAATAATTGCAATAATTATTTTAAAAATAAGTTTTAAATAATCCAAATCAGGAAATTTTTCAAAGAAAATGGGAAGATTTTGGTTTAATTAAAAAGTTGACAGCACATAATGATGCATAAGGTACATATGCTTAATGATTGCCTGCATAAGATTTTGAAATTCAATTATAAAAGGCAATGGGGACGTACCGACCTTGAACTCATTAGTTAGTTTTACTTTGGTAATACTGGTTTCTTATTCGCTGTGCTAATTTCTCCCTAATTTGAATAACTTCGGCTTCTGTTCATGTGCGTCCGGCCTAGTGAAATGATAGTTTGTATTTACTTTGTATAATTGTATGTATTTAAGAGGGAATTGTTTTTTTTGCACTGCATTTAATGAAAATCAACCTCGGAACATAAGTTGGCAACAATGCCACCAGGTTAACTATGAGTGCATTTTTTTCACAGCTGTTTTTGCAAATCAGCCTGTCAGATTTTTTTGTTAAACCAATCAATGGTTTTTTACAATGATAATTTTCGTTGATGTAGTTTGCATGCTACTTCATTCCTGTATTAGCACTTGAACTTGTTTTTCAATGCTGAATGTCTCCATAGTGTTTACGACTTCCTAGTCCAGGAAAGTTAGGCCTCATTTTAACCCAAATGCTCTAATCCGTTTTTACAACTGCTATCACAAAACTATTGAAGCCTCTCATATTACCGAAGTCGTATTTGTCCAGAAGTGCCTTGTGGGTTTTTTATTATAATCGAAATAGGATTCGGACATTTGACATTTAGACAATGCAATCGGTTGGCTTTTTGAAAAAAAATGGCCATTCTGTTGACAATGCTTACTTCTCTCATCGCTCATCCAAGAAGCTGTCTGCTTGCATTTTCAAAAATACCCTGTGTATTGCGCTCTACCTAGTCCAAGGAATTATGTAATACGACCATATTTATTAGCCTTTTAGAAGTATTTAAATTCACCTTGGGGTATCTGCATCGCCCTCTGCTTCATTGTGGTAAAATCGTTTTGGGATGATGGTGTTTTTTTTTGTAGTAAACGCGATCTTTCACATACAATCCCAGTATCTAAGTTTATTCAATTTATTTTTTTAACCACACGTTTGATTCCGCTGTTGTACTCACAATAGCAGCCACACTTACGGCGTTTTTACCTTCATTCTGATTAGTCCTGATTTTGGTTCCGCGGAATTTCATCAAAGCAAATGGTTCACAAAAACTACAAGATTTGCGGTGTCGGTGCTGGTATTTTGGGCGTTCCTGTGTGCGCCGTAATTGCTTCCCAATTTCCGGAATTCTCCGTCAGCGTCGTGGATGATGACAACAGTCTCGTTGATCAGTGGAATAGTGGAAGCAATTACCCCATCTCTGAGGTGAATTCGAACTCGTTCTTAGTCGATTGCGCACTTAATTATTGTACTCATTTTGGATCTTGAACATTTAATGTGATGGCATTGCACTTCACTCTAATGCTTGCTAATGTGCATTGATTTTTGCCAAGTCGTGTCTTGACTTCATGGATTAGACACTACTTGATTTAGTCATAGCTGTTTAATGTAAACAAACCACTTCAGGTCGCCACAAATCTAGCTCAAATCTTCTTTTTATAACTTGGTGCCTTTTGTTTGTCTCCTTCGCCAGTTAGGGCTTGAGGAGTTGCTAAAAAAGTGCAAAGGAAGGAATCTGGTTATCTCCTCGGAGGTGGACAGGTACCTAGCTGACGCAGACATCATCCTCATCTGCGTCAAGACGCCTGCCAAGTCCCTTGGTGTTGGTCGAGTACGTACTGCCTTTTATTCCATCGTAAAAACCATTTTGAATAATCCCGTCTTATTGTTAAATATTGATAAATTTGTCGTGTAAGCTGCCAAATTGCTGATGCGCTACAGGCAACAGAAATTCGGCTTTTGCTTGTAGGGTCGAGCTGCAGATCTGGGCTGCATCGAAGCGGTTTCACGACAAATCGTTGCCTCCGGGAACTCCTCAGCCATTGTGGTTGTTCAAAGCACCGTTCCGATTGGAGCTACTGATCACATCAACAGCATCTTCAGCGCCAACAACAAGGCAGGTGGCATCGTTCTGCTGATTTATGCTATCGCTAGGTGACATTTGCGCCCACAAACTTACGGATTTCCTAGTAATATAAAAACCTGGAAGCAGTCAGCGTGTGCTGCTCAACTACAAACCATTACATGGAACCACTTGTTGTAAATACAAAGTATCCGCTATCACAAACCCCAAATTCGTTTTCATAACAACCACGTACAAGGTATTCGCCTACAAACCGGAATGTAGTCGTGTTTTAATGTGACATCGCCACTGAGGTTGTTTTGAATTAACTGTGATAACTTTTGCCAAAGCATCCCACTTTTTTATCGATGTTTGCAGCCTGATTTATTGCTCTTCTGTAATTTGATTAGAATAGGTGGGCACATGTGTATACATGAGGTTTATGTGCTTTGAGTTTCAATAGAAAACACCACTTATTTGGTCAAGGCGGGTATGTCTTTTTGGGGGCTTCTCACTTGAAAACTGATTGTAGAAAAACGCACTGAAAATGTAGCAAATCCACTTCGTTATGTCTCCTCGAATCGAGGCTACTTTATAATTACTGTTTCCTGACGATAAGCAACTTCGCTGGCGAATGCAAACTTTTCAATTAAGTCCACGCTTGGGTGAGTCATTCCCGCCACCATTCTACCTCCGTTAACTAAACACATAAACAGATTTTGTAGTGATGTGTGTTAAATGAAGCGGTTCATCACTTAAACTGTGATTTCCTTTCACGTTCGGTGTCTCGTTTTGCGTAATTTAGGCTTCAAACTTTGTCGTCATCTCCAATCCTCAGTTTGTGTCAGAGGGCAGTGTAATTGAAAACCTCCTCCAGCCAGATCGAGTAGTTTTAGGTGGCGAGGCCACCGAAGCCTCGCAAAGAGCTGTACAGATCCTCAAAAACATCTACGCACGTTGGATCCCCGAGGAGAAGATCATCACCATTTCGACGAAGTCTGCTGAGGTTGCTAAGTTGGTGAGTTTGTCGCCTTCTGGTAAATATCGTGTGGACTAGATTCTTGACCAAATCCGACTGTTTACAAGTCACACATCTCGTAAATGTGTGTGGCTAGTTCTTTAAAGTAGCGTCTCTGCCGATTTGCGGATAGAGCTTATTCCCACCTGCTTTTACAACGTCATTGTGACTCGGGTTGGCGGTTATCAGCTGGTAACTCTCTTGCCTAACACAAGTTCTGTTTCCTCAGTATCAGGACTTACACATGACCTTGCACACACACGTTTTCGCCATCCGCACTGTCGGAAGGCGTCTGCCTATCGACGCGTGGGTGACCTTGAACCCAACTCAGTGGTAGACGTGGAAGTGGTGTGAATGTCATTGTCCGTTACCACGGAGATACTTTTGCAGCAAGCATGTGCCCCTCCTCACCAGAAGCGTTCACTCCATTGTTTGTTTGCAGTCGCCTTCCCAACAGGAGGTGGAATGTGTGTTGTGGGCCCCAGCATGTGGTCTTGAACCACGCCGGGGCCACGGAATTCACCCTGGTCGTGATTACGTTTCCTTGATACCCGGGATGAGGAAAAAGATGGGAGAGGACGTGGACACAGCCGTTTACTTCAGAGCTCAGCCACGTTGTTGTCGTTGTGTCGTGTGTGGGGTTTGCGCGTGTCTATCTATACCTCGGGTGTGTGAGTCATACATGCGCTAACATCGAGGCCTATGTGTGGGGACACTCCAAGATAAATATTCGTGCTAGTGAAGGGGAGTTGAGGATTCGCGTGGCTGGCGACATGCTGCGACAAGAGGAACCCTGTGTAGGAGGTAGGGTGACCGGATTAAGGGGTTGAATAAGCACGAATCGCAACATGTGTTCGTGCTTCAGGTGACGAATGCCTTCCTCGCACAACGCGTCAGCAGCATCAACTCCATCTCAAGCGTCTGCGAGGAGACTGCAGCTGACGTGCGTCAGGTGGCCGACGCGGTGGGACGCGACCGTCGTGTGGGACCCCACTTCCTCGACGCAGGCCTTGGATTCGGTGGCAACACGCTGCCTGCCGACGTCCATCATCTGGTACGTGCTTCCCCTGAACTGCAGCACAAGCCACCGACCCTGGTGGTGACGTTCCGTGACACGATTTGACCCTCTGAATTGGCTGATGTTGCCCTTCTCCATTTAAACAACTTGTATGTACTCGAAGCCCTATATATGGGTTCCAAGCAATTAACGCGTAAAAGTACTGTGAAGGACTCATCTTCATCAAGACAACGCTAGGTCACATGTATTTCAACTGAAACTGCAAATACGTGGAGATTTAAAAGAAGCAGTCCTGCAACACGGACCTTGTATCTTCAAACCTTTTTTTCAAAAACTTGTAGACGTCACCCATGGAAACGTGTTGTTTTCCGCCTAGGTGTATACCTGTGAGTCGTTGCAGCTGCCCACGGTCGCAGCCTACTGGAATTCCGTGCTGAGTGTGAACGAGTTTCAGGTGAACCGATTCTTCCGCAAAATCACCGCCCACTTCTGTGAAACCCTTCGAGGCAAACGCATCGCCGTGTTCGGCTGCGCATTCAAAAAGGGCACCCCGGAAGTCAGGTAAATTCATGTCCCCGTCTTCCATCCACAGCTCTCGTGTTGGTCACGCCAAAGTGACCTTCTCCCCCGACCTGGGTGCACGCTGGTGGTCGATGGGACTTAAATGTCAACGTTGTGCCTTAGCCTGGTCGGTCACATTTGGCTGTCAGTTAAACGAGCTTGTAACAATCTTTCGGCGTGGGAGAATGTGTTGCAAGGTGTACGTGTGAAAATTATGCCTCAGCTCTCTCAAGCAGTGGTTAATCTTAGCACAGCTGCAAGCACATTTGATGAAAGTTCACTCAGTGATCCGTGCTTTAAAAAAGCGCTTTCGCGAGACGAAGAAGGTACTTTGAAGCGTAAGCAATCTCCTTCGGCTTCCCTTACGCAAACTTCAAATGGGTTTTTCCCCCTTAGCGCATATCGCACAACCGAAGGAGCTTTGAGCTCACGCAGCACAAAAAGTGCTTCTATCAAGCTCAAAACCCTTCACTTGAGCATTTCTGAGCATATTTTCCCACGGTTGATGCATTGGCTCAGTCGCCCACTCGTTGTTTGCATTGCTATAGCTCAGCTAGCGCTCAAATGCAAGATTTTGACTCCTTCTCATAGAATCGGTCTGAGCCAACTTCTATCGCCTCGTTGTCATTCTGTAAATTTTGCCTTAATGCGATGTAGATCTTCAGAATTGGACTGTGACATTTTCTAACTCGAACTATCAGGTACCTCACCAAGAAAGTTGTCTGCATCGAAGCCGCTGATTTATCAGTACATTGTGTAGCATCCAGTTAGAATTAAAGAGAGTGAATGTAATCCTCACTCCGTTCATAATGAACTAGAAACCATTGTAAATAACGGTAGCGGCTTTGACCGTAGCAGACAGACAAACCAGAGAGAAGAACAAGAAAGAAGATCCAGAACGTAGGGAACCACACGTATCATCTGCTTAGGGGCGAAATGAACAGGGTTCAGACGTAAGTCAGTATAGTAAAACAAAGAGGTGGAGGGAATAACAAGGTTGGGTAAATCCATTCGTCATCTAGTGGAAATTGTATTTTTTGGTGTCATTGGAACTTACGAACGCAGCTTATTTTAATTCGCGTCTGTGTAATTCAATTGGAGATGAATAATTTAAAATTCCCACCAGTTTTCTTTGTTTCTAAGTTTGTGTACCTTTTCCCTATAGAAACAGCCCGGCCGTCGTCATTTGTTGCCGCCTTCTGCTTGAGGACGCCAACATCGCGGTGTACGATCCACTCGCCGACCTTCAATCGCTTGTCGACGCCGTCTCGGAGACCTTGGGTCAGAAGCCCGGTGCGTCGTTGTCGTGTTGGCCAAAAAATTGAGCACAAATTGACTTTTATGACGCCTCAGGTCACTTTTCAGTTTTAAAACGGGCTTCAGAAACTACCGTTAGGTGATTTTAAGGTTATCGCAGCAATCTATCTTGTCGTAAACGCAATTAAACGCGCAACGAGGCTGATGAGCGCATCATTGCGTTTGACAATGTCTAACAACGCTTTACTTTCTCGCGGGAGGATCATGTTCCCTAACCAGAAGACCATTTGACAGGGAGACTCTTTCAGCCTGTAACACGTAACAACTGCTTCTGTTGTTGTGCCTTGTAGCCAACATCGACAACCTGGTGTGGTGCAAGACGCCAATTGAAGCCGCGGAGAACGCAGACGGAATTATTGTGTGCACCGACTGTGATGAATTCAAGGTACAACTGCTTCATTTTTGCCACGCACCCAGGGTGAACTGTGACCTCTGCGTGTCTGATTTCTAGAAGTAATGCTCACGTCTTCCCAAGTCATCACGCGCTACCCGCAGTGACATCGAATCACCTCATTTGCGTCATTAGTTTCTGCATCATGGGTCTAGACGATTCTTTGTTGAAATTGACGTGTGGATTTTCATTTAGCCTTGTTTCGCATGTAACCCTAGCTCAAGTTTCAACAAGTTCAGTAGTTTTTACTTCGTACAATCTAGTTGCCAAATTTCCACCTGTGTGTGATTCATTAGAATATAGGTGTGCTGGTTTCGCCTCAAATGTCATCAATTTCAAAGTAATTTCGTTTGAGTCAAATCCGTTGTGTAAGAGAAACACTTGTCTATTCACGTTTGAGTAGACTGTGTTCCCGTTGTAGACACTTGACTACAAGGCAATCTACGACTCAATGAGGAAACCAGCGTCCTTCTTCGATGGACGTCTAGTGGTTCCCCACAAGGATCTCCTGAAGATCGGGTTCCGTGTGGAAGCCGTTGGCGTCTGCCTAAAATAATTTGATCAATGGATTCCCGTGACTTTCGACAAGACTCCCATTAACTTTTTTCTAGCGCGTCTCTTAAGCAAATCTGTGTAAATTTCGCGACCTCCAGTACTCGGAATGACTGACAGAATGATCTTACTTAAACAATGATTAATTAAATCAGTCTTCTTTAACTGCAAACTGGGAATGGAGCGAGCAGCGTCAAATGGTTAGAAGGCCACTTGACCGCATAAGTTCACATCGCGATTTTTCCAGTATGCATGGCGCCGCGAACGCTTCAATTCGGATTAAGGTAACTCCTTGGACTGAGGTCCCTGTCAAATATTGTAAATCTCTCCTGCATTCGCTGTCAGCGATCGCGCAAGGGTGAGGCCTAATCACTGTCCCGATGGTATTAATGTCTCATCGCTGTTCCACTGGTGGCTGTTATCAATTGTCCGCTGTCGACGCCTTGCCTCTCTTCTCGGGCTGTTGACTAGGTGTTAGGGCGGTGCTTAGCAAGCAACAATCGTTTTTCGGCAACATTCACTCGTGTAGCAGACAAAATCATCAGACGCCTTTGTTGGCAAGTGTTCGAAGAGTCGGCGATGTTTGTGGCTTATTCTGCAATACCCCTGCTAGCGAAATGCCCTCGACTGGACGAAGGAGTTATCCGTCGGACACGCAGCTCAGATTCACACTTGACCTCGGTTTATGTGGACCATGAGTTTCGCTGGAAAACTAAGCCGCTGGCGTCGACACCGTTTCCTCACATTGACCCGGTGTGAAATCCCGTGTGCCCTCTAACGACCTCAAACAGCGGCTACCAGAAATTCCTGTTTTTAAGCCACCATGCAATCATTGCTTTCAAATGCGAGCCAGCACTTCCAAGTACCAGCAAATTTAAGCAGTTGGCTGTGCTTTGAGATGTTAACACACATAAGCCTAGGCTACATCAGTGTCCCGTAAGTAGTCTCATTCACGTGTGGCTGATATTGCAGCGGTTTCCACACACTCGCATCACCAAAAGAGACGCCAAAAGACACCCTTTTTGGCTTAATTTAGGGACAACCGCAGATGCGCAGTGCTGTGCCCACCAACGTAGCCGTCGGCCCCAGCGCGGATTTATTAAGTCATGTGGTGCGAGGCAGGAGAAAAACAGACAAGAGTGTAATAAAACGTATTGCCAGAGGAGCCACAACTGTACAACTGTCCACACACAAACACACATCCAAGTGCCTTTACGACGGTTTGGGTCGCTTGGAGGAAGTGGCCTCGTCCTGTTGGAAAATTGGGTTGGGCTGAGTCCTGAAATGACCAGAAAAAGTGCGCGCAATCAGGCTATGCACGTCTAGGTGGCAAATGGAGAATCAATCCCCACAAGCAAGACGTTACACATGCTGTAGACGCAAACACACACTTCGCTCGTACACATACTGGCATGTTGGAAAGAACCGTCGTGATCTGTGGCGGAGGGGATTCGGCGGGGCTGGCGAAAAAGGCATTACACCTGACTGTGGGAAAAAACCAACGCATGCTGTTGCATAAGCCCACGCACCGGTAGAAAAGTTGGCGCAATAAGGAGGGGGGAGGAAGATTTATCGAGTACAAAAAAGCATGAGGTGCGTTGATGAGGCAACTGACACATCGACCTGATGAACTGCCTCGAATATGAATGGTACTACACCTTACTTACACAAAAAACGATTGGCGTTTTGGCAAAATCACAGAACTGTGGATGGCCGTTCCGAGGCAAATTGGTCTGGGAGTACACGAGGGAGCTGCGAATTTTCGACGCTTTTTGCAAACTACGCAGTAAAGGCAGACTTAATGAAAGCTTGTTCACGTGAGGCCAGGAACTACTAACTGGAAAGTTGGGTACATTAAAAGCGACCAAATATCGTAATCTCGGTTTGCAAAGTTCAGCGGACGCCACGCCACGTAGTTGAGAACGAAAGTTGACATTACTCTGTGTGTATTTAAGACTGGAGACAATATTTGCGGTCATTATTTGACCTCAGCACCTGGGAGCTACGACGGTGAACTTTCAAGAACTAAATGCACACACAAACGTCGCGCGAAATTAACAATTTCGACGTCTTTACGCAGTAACCGATACAGACACAGAATTCAACCCTACAATTGCCCCTCAAGTTATTCCAGTCTTTAAATGGATCCCCACATAATACTCTCGTTTAGACTCAGTCAATTGTGTTAAGCATCAACATTTTAACCCAATGTCGGTTGAGCTGCAGCCTGATTGGCGGAGAATACTGTTTCCCAATTGGTCGGTTTGCATTAAAATTGCAACGAGGCTCACTTGAGGTAGGCCTTTGTCCAGAAGGGCTGTTTCTTGGCTTCCTCGGCGTGGCGCAGAATGGCGCCACGAATGTCCTTCTCGGCGCGTTCGTCGGCCTCGTTTTTGCGCAGGACAATCTGCTGCACCATGTACTTGTGCAGGCTGCCAACGCGCTGACCGACGTCCTCGCCGGCGTTGGGGACGCGTTTGCGCGCGGCCTTGCGCGCCGCCTCGTTCGCCGCGACCGAGTCCTTCTCGTAGGCGGCGATGGCGGCGGCCACGGCGAGCTGGTTCTCGTCTTCCAGGTTGCCGAAGCGCTTACGCATCTTCCGCGCCACCCGCACCGAGTCCTCGTCGAAGGTGAGGAGGGTGGGCTTGATGAAGGCGTCGGAGGAGCAGCCGTAGCCCTGGCGACGCCGACGACTCGCCTCCGAGGCCTGGCGGTACGCGCAGATCAACGCGCCGTTACGGCTGTGCATCGGGTCGAAGTGCACTGTGGCGCAACCGCTGGAGAATGTGGCTACTATCTGGCGTATTCGCGGGTGCCACAGCACACGAATGGCACTTCCACGACCTGGATTGTGTCTGTGAATAGGCTGTGAAAGAGATCAATGATTTTGTTTGATTGTGTCATTTGACCAGAATTCCTCTCCTGGTAGGCCGAGAGCTTGAACTTAATCAGCTACTAATACTTTAATAGTAGTAATAGTTCGTGAAAAGCAGAGAGGAGCAGTGGTTACCTCGAATGTGTCTTTGCGGAAGATGACGACTTCACCACTTGAGGGGTCCCCACGTTTGGCTGAGACGGCTGCCGCAACCATGGTGTCGTTGGGACTGAAGCAGACTTCAGTTTGCTCAAACAAAACGGGCAGATCGCGGACAGTGTGAGCAGCGCCCTTCGCCATCATTCGAAGGTCCCACAGACGCACGGTGTCATCCATGGCCCGCGAGGCAATCATGCGGCTGTCCCAGGAAAAGCACAGGCTCGTGGTGTCCGTTCCGGTGGGGTGGGCGTTGCGGTAGAGGTGTGAGGTGTTCACCAGGGGACGTCGGGTGTCCCAGACCTGCAGGGAACCGTCCTGACAGCCCGCTGCAACGAGGAAGCCGTCTCTGTAGAAAGAATGTAGAATGAGGAGGGAGGGGGGAAAGAGAGGGGGTGGGGGGAAGGTGATGGAGAGAGTGAAGGGAGAGGGAGGAGAAGAATAAACGAAATTTCAAAAGCTGTCGGTCACCCTTTTGTATTCCCCCAGACGTGATAATTAAGCCGATGGTAATTCTCAACATACATGCTGGAGTAAAACGAACAACACCAAATTTCAGCCCATGTCGTTTGCGAAATGAATTACATGAGTTTTTCTTATTTTTAAGAAATGCATCTACGATAGAAACGTTTGAAAAAAAGCTAAAGCTACGATAACAATGCTCAAAGATAAGGACAAGTGTATCCAGGTTTTTGTTCAAATATTTGATAATCCCTAACTAACTGGCTACAAAAGACAAGCAGAATGCGGCCCCCACCAGACGAATTCCAATGGCCAATGATTTCACTACCATAATATCATAGCTTACTGATTAAATTAGTTTTCTTTAATACCTGCAATATCGTTGGACATATTCCCACAAATAATACAATGTAAACAAAATTTGTACCAAGTTAATCCGTGTTTAGCCCGAAAGTAAAGGTCAATGTTTACAAAAAAAACAAGTTATGTAGACAAAAGTTATGCAAGAAACTAGACGACCGTCCAAAGCAAAGAATGCAGGGTAGAGACAAAGGCCTGCTAGAGACGGCATCTTACTTGGAATAAGCCCCAGCAGTAGGTGTAGTTTTGCGTCCTTGCCCGTTCCGCGGTTTAAGAATGGCCGAGTGACACGGGATTCTGGTGTCGTCGAGGATCTGTTCAGCAGTGTCGATTTCCCACACGCGGAGGGTGGTGTCCTGAGACCAAGTGAGGAATTTCCGGCCGTCGATGGGGTGCCAAGTGCCTCCATTGAGGGCGTGCGTGTGACCCTTTGCACTGGCTGGGTCAGTGATGTACTGATAACCACGTATTGTCTCACAATAAGGCTCAGCGTCACGAGTAAAGATCTTGGCCAGAGGGCTACCAGAGATGACCAGCATGTTGTCACCTAAAACGAGGTCGAAAGGGATGCTTAACACGACCTATGCCAAATTACTTAACAATAGATCTCAACAGAAGGATGGGATTTTCCACTGCCGTTGTACTGTCTGCTATAAAACATGAATGAGCGCAGTCAAATTGCAATAAAGAGATTTACGGAACGAATTTAGCAATTTGAAATAAACGAAAAAAAGATAACAAAAGCACTTTAATCTAACCAATACCAAGACTTTCTATTAGCATCTACCCATGCATTTTAGTTCCCACAGGAAAATGGAATTCAAAGTAATCTTTGAGATTAATCTCATCAAAACAACTCAGGAGGATTGTGTAATAGTAAGTAAATCAGTGAAATGCAGGGACGTGAAAATTGTTGACTCACCAGTAGGACTGAATTCAATTTGCTTGACTTGCTGGTCTTCACTAGGCTGGAAGATTTTGAAAGCTCTACAGCTCTTATCCATGCCAGAAAAATCCCACAATTTTACATCAAAATCAAATCCACCAGTCGCAACCCGAGATCCTGAAGGATCCAAAGCAACTGCTGTCAATGGCTTTGGACCATGGTTTAAAAGAAGGTGTTCCGCCATGGGAATGAAATAAGGGTCCTCAGGTTTATCGGTTGAATCTGATGGACGTTCAAAGTCTTCATCTTCATGGTCTGATTCGGCGTCGCGGTTCGTTGGTTCATCTTTGTCATCGTCCTCGTTGTTATCCTGAGCTTCCAATTCGGCCGCCTGTTCTACAGATAACATGAAAATAATAGATAAAAATACCATCAAGCTTTTTATTTCCCTCTTCATTTCTCTGTTTTGCGACTCCGTGAGCTTCCTTGAATATTTCCATAAAATCAAAGTTTCTAGCTTGTTTATTGCTGGTAAAAGAGCTGAAGCCCATGATAGCCTCCATATCTTTAGAACTCATCTTTGGCGCAAAGAAAATGAATGTGCCGCCAATGACCGGAACTACTTAAACAGTTATCCATACTTTTACCACAAACTTCTCGATAAATATGGTTACATCTCCATTTAGTACAGCCTTTATTCTAAACTAGTTATGTCTGCAACCGTTAGTATGCTAAATTCAGGTAAAAAGTTTATGCAAGAAGCATTTTTGACAATTAATTTTTGCAAAATATTGCACGTGTGATAAGTTAAAAGCACAGAACAACATCAAATAACTCTATGAGACCAAGCACAAATGCAAATTAAGGGTAATTTTTTTCTGGCAGCAGAAATTTTAATTTATGAGGTTTGCAGGCAGCTTCATGTTCATGTCTCTTAAATTACCTTCTAATTTCTGGCAAATATAAGACTGATTAGCCCCCTAGAAAGATAGGCATGTGCATTTTGTGGAAATTTTCAAGATAACAATCTATTTTTCGTAATTGAAGACAATAATGATTTCCCGTAATCTCTTATTAAATCTTCCATCTAATGAGCCCCGGTTTTCCAAAATTGATTCAAACCAAGAACGCTGGTGTACACTGTCTGCTTTAATTCTTCTTTAACCATTGCTAAAACGGCAAAACGTAGGCGCAACTGACGCATAACTTAAACTCAGTATAAGAATTTTGACATCAAGAGCGCAGTTATTTTCAAATCCGCGACATCGAAGGACCCAATCATCAAAAAGTGTTTCTAACACTTGATTTTATTTGTACATTTGAAAGTGCTTGAACAATTAACACTTATTTAAGAAAAATTATAAAATATGAGAGTGCAACGAGGCATATCTTACCCTTTACATCTGTAAAACGGATTTTATTCTTGATGCACATTCAGTCTTAAGTATATTTTTAACTGAACTGCGTGCAAATTTGCGTAAATTTTAGTGCATGTGGTGATTTTTAAATGGTGAGAATATAAAAAATAAATCAGCGCCAAAAAATAATGCGCAGCACCCCATGCATCTTGACATATTTCTGGTAACTTATTTCTGAACCTTTACCTTTCCAGAACCGGTCAACATTTTTTAATTGCATTTTAATATAGATTAATGAAACTCGACATTCTCCGATCGACCAAATTTTTCTTTTTTCACAATGTGTAACCGTACCTAGATTAAACCTCCCCTGGAAGTCTACCGTCCTTATATTTCTCTTGCCATGAAAATAAAATTTGTGCCGTAAGACAACTTGTCTCCTCTACTTCCTAAGTTTGAGTACCACTCAAACTTGATACATACATAGCAGATATATGGTCGTATTATACTCAAAGGTTTTATGCAAACATGTGCCCACCGCCCGAATCCTGATATTAATGCAAACCAATCTCTTAAGTTAAGGAAATCGCGTTTACATCACGAACTTGAAGAATTATCTTTCCAAAGTAAACAGTAAATTGCAAACTTAACTATAATTGTTTAGAAACACGCACTTTAATTTGTCTGCGGCCTTTAATTAAGTAAAATCCATTAAATTATTGTGTCGACATTTGCTCACAGTCGGGTTTCCAATCGTAGCTTACGTTTTTTACATTGCCTTTTTGTAAATTATATCGCATCATTTAACCTAAGATTAAGTCAATCAATAAATATGGGGCCAGTTTGTATGGTATTTGATAAATTTACTGTTACCAAAATGTATTAAAATAATTTAATGTTTAAGTCCACTATTTATCGTTAACGCTAATTGAAAAAAATGACTTCAGCGGTTTTGTCTCGAGGCGGTGGACAGCCTGTTGAGTATGATAAGACATCCGTGAATGAATATCTACGAATAGGTAAATCTTGTATTACGTTTTACGTGTAAGCCACTTCTGTTGTTGCTGATGATGACGAAGAAGGAATTAAGCAAAAGGAAAATGCCATTGTTGAGCTCGGTAACATTTATGCAAAGGAAAAGAAGGCCAAAGGTAGGTTTTCTCGCCCATAAATCTATGCTTTGCATATCATCGTATATGGTGTTGTCCATGACAAGACACTTGCCTAAAATAATATGGCATTTTATCTCTTGCATGTTCAAATTTATTTATCTACCGTGTTTTATGCGAGTCGTTGAGAAGTGTACACTTTAACGACTCCAATTGTGTTCTTATAATCGAAAATTATAGCCATATTTTATATTATTGTTAGCTTATTCACACATGTCTTTATTTTATTCCCTTGTTCCAATTCATTTGTCCAGTTCCGCGCGACCTTGCATTTTAATGCCTCGTATTTAGATTTAAGTATTAACCTTTTTCATGTGTACGTTTTTTGCTCCGTGTTACTTACTGAAGATAGTATGTGGGTTGACATGGTGCTATCGTACGCTAACTCCCCATATACTGCGTAGGCTCCGCGTTTTAGATATTTTAGTCGATTTATGCCCTAGTAGGCACGTTTACCTGGCCTTCTTAATGTATGTAAAAAAGGTTTTTCAGGCCGTAATTCGTTCCATGAAGTTACTTCAAAATGCTCTGTAATATAATTCGTCCTTTCTTTTTATCGCTTAAGAACTCGCAGATCTGATCCTGATTACTCGACCTTTCCTAAAACAAATCAGCAAGGCTAAGGCGGGTCGTCTGGTCCGTACATTAGTCGACCTGTTTCTGGATCTCGAATCCGGAACTGGGCGTGAGGTTGACTTGATCAAGGAATGTATCGATTGGGCTGGAACCGAACGACGAACGTTTCTTAAGCAGGCTCTCGAAGCCCGATTAATGGGCCTATACGCTGACAATGAACGTTACGAGGAGGCCCTGCTTTTAGGTGAGACACGCTCAAAGTAATTGCATTCTCTCCGTTATTGCCAGTCTTTTAATGAACATTCCATTTCACTCATTACAGGCAGCACACTATTGCGTGAGTTAAAGAAGCTTGATGACAAGGTCCTTCTCGTTGAGGTGCAACTCATGGAAAGCCAAGTCTACTACCGAGTTGGCAACTTGCAGAAGTCACGAGCCGCTCTCACTTCATCACGCACAACGGCGAACAGCATTTACTGCCCGCCACGTCTTCAGGCCTCTCTTGATCTACTCTCAGGTAATGTGCGCATTCTGTCCTGTCGAAATTCACGTTGCAAGTTGTATCGCTTTCGTTAAACATTTCATGCTTGTTCGGCCTTTTTTTGTTATTATTGCTTTTTTAAGTGTATGCCTTTGTGTTTACGCCGCATCCAACCTTATGATGTCCTAAAATTGGAGGTGAGGAAAGCAGTTTTTTTTCCAATTATTGAATAATGAAGCCCTATTCTGTCAATTTTGTGGCTGTATGATAAAATGTTGACTGCTTTGTCTACATCAGGTGTTCTTCATGCGGCCGACGAGCGCGACTTTAAGACAGCCTATTCCTACTTCTACGAGGCGTTCGAGGGCTATGATTCGATTGGTTCGCAGAAGGCCATTGACGCCTTAAAGTACATGTGCCTTGCAAAAATCATGGTCCAAAGGTATGCAGTCGATTTGCCATCGTTTAAATTCCCACTTTCCCCCTCCACCTAGTTTGCCTGATTCTGATCCTCTATATCACTCCACCAGTTGTCTCCAGCTTAGCAGTGGCACGACGTCCCAAGTTTGCCCCTATTGGTTTGACCGAGTAGGAGGCGCGTATTATTATTTGACCTAAATTGATTTGTCTCAACAATTGTCTCCATTAGCCCAGAGGAAGTACCCGTTATTCTCTCCTCCAAACTGGCCTCCAGCTACGATCAAAGAGCTATTCAGGCCATGCGTGAGGTCGCAAAGGCAGCCAAGGAGCGATCACTTGCTGACTTTCTCAACGTACGTTGCATGTTTCTCCTTTTAAAAATGTCGTTAATCATGGACATTTCCTCTGTTTTTTCAAAGAAAGTCGAACAAGTGTCTCTTAAAAGCCTTGAGCTCTAACTGATCAGGGTTCTGTAATGCTGAATTAGCCATCCTCGTCACGTCATAATCGATTCTGCTAAATGTGCCTTGACTAAATACCTGCAGGAACTGTGTTTACCATTGCGTGGTCCACACAGCTGGATTCATCTATTGCGTCGTCACCTTCAAGACAGTTGGTCCGCCACGGTTAATTTTAATGGATGCGCTTTGTACCCTTCGTCAGTTGGCTCAAGTACCTGTCAGCAAATGCACGCATAATAATCAGGACTTTATTATTGGTCTTCGTTTTTTTGTACAGTTAAGAGAAGAGTTCAAAAGTGAACTACTTGGGGACCCTGTGATTGCACAGCACCTCAACTCTTTCTACGACACTCTTCTTGGCCAGAATCTCACCAAACTAATCGAGCCGTACTCGCGTGTGCAAATTGCCCACATTGCCAAGCTAATCAACCTCCCGCTGGTACGTTTACGGAGTCGGTGGTACTTGTACTCTCTCTTGCCTACTAATTTTATTAATCTCCGTATTTGTTCGCTTATTGGCTGAGCACTCTCCTGGTGATTGGTCACGTCGACGTGGCCGCTTCTCACTGGCTGATTTTAACTGATTTTAGGGCTATTTATTCTACTGATTAAGCCAATAGGTAGCAAATTAAACAAATGTGACGCAGTTATTTCAACTTCCTTATTCAAATCAATTGTACATTGTTAGTCTTTTATTCACTTCTAGGAGAATGTTGAGAAGAAGCTCTCGCAAATGATATTGGACAAGCAGTTGAACGGTAAGTTTCTCGTGTTTATCGTTAAATTATTTTTCATTTAAATTGCATAAAACCCTTCTTAAACCGTTGATTGTACATTGTACTCGAACATGGCAACGCATACTAGGGTCAGTACGCGTTTATTTATCTCTGCTGCGTTTATTAGCTTACCGTTCAGTTAGTTGATTGTTTTCCCAAGTCAGAGAAGTTTTGCGGCTATTGTGGTTTTGTGTGATGCCACTGAGTTTCTATTGGTTCCTCCCATATTCGTGAAAATTTTTTAGCTGTTTTCACCTAATCACAAGCCCACGAGACACGTTGTTTCTATCTAGAAGTAAATCTACCAAAATCACAGACAGAGGTTCCCTGTCGTCTTTCGGGCTTTAAAAAGTGTTTCCATCTGAAGAATACTCGTGCGGTGGTTTGCTGGCTGTCTTACTCTTGTTTGCCCTGGCTGTGGACATGTGGTGGCAGTCCTGAGTGTTGCCTTTCGGGTTTGTAGGCATTCTGGACCAGGGTAGTGGGATGCTTGTGCTGCGCGATGAACCCTACGATGGACGCGACTACAAGTTCGCCTTGGACATTGTACATACCCTCAGCACCAGCCTCGATCTGCTCACCCAGAAGGCCAAGAAACTCGCCTGAGTGTCGGCTTTGACTGATCGCTTGCCATCCAGGGACGTCCAGCCGCTTGTGTTTTCCCTTGTTCAATAAATATTCTGTTTTTCTAATGACAGCCGCATTTTTTATGGGAAATTGGGCTAATGGGAACGGGAGACAGTGGAACAACGATGAGGTTGGATTTCGTGAAAAGCCATCATTTTGGCTGTCGGGCAGCAAAAGTCAGCCGCTTTTGATTAAAACGCATCCGTTCCTTCAGTGTCTTGCGTAAATAAAAGTACTGTTCCATAAAACAAATAATGCAGGCGCTGTTTTTGGCATTTTGTTTTCGATTTAGGGAAGTGTTTAAGCATTTGTGCAGCTAGTGTTTCCTTTATGAATGCGCTCCTTGCGTCTCCGGTTTTACCGCTGACCATCCTCCTTGGCCATTTATGTGCAAGCGTAGGATTGACTGAACTTATTGGGAGACCTATGATGAAGAATATTCGAGACTAAAAATGTCGACGATGCGTAGAACAGAACAGTCTTTAGTGATTAACCTCAGGCCAGAATCATCTGTCATGCACTGTTCATCCAGACTAATGTACTGGATTCCCGGCGCATTATATGGTGTTTCTCATCCAACCATTGGCAATTCAATTGCATGAAGGGGATTGGCTGACTTCAACAAGATCCAACTACAGTGCCAGCACTGTATTAGTCAGCTATCCGGTTGATTATAATAATAATGAGTTACTTAGGGTGCAAATGATTATATTTACTTACAGTTTCTGGCATTGTTGCAAGTCGGTTCTAAGGAGGAAGGTACCTACATTCGATTTGTGCAACTGCGTGTGCTCTTAATGTAGCCATCACATCTGCGTTTATACATGGCACTCTTCACAAAAACAAAGCACGTGAACGAGCAAAAAACATAGTAACATGCATGCTTAAAAAAACGCTCGAAAATACAAAGCTATGAAATTCCATATTTAGTTGATAGCCATGAGCTGACAAAATGCAGTAATGATCAGTTTTCATTATTTTCACGCAAACAATCTACCTTTCCATAATTGGCAATAAAGGTGAAGGTATCCTATACTTTTATCTTAAAAAGATAAAATTTATTTACTTCGATCAGTCTACTTAGATAGCACCCAGGTTTTATTGTCATCGTGTATATACCAATACAAGTTTTTTGATTAAATGTAAATTATTCCAGGGTTTTAAAAATGTGCAGTTGCGGGGCTAAAATAGGCACTGATCCTGAAAAGAAACCGAAAAATATTGTGATAGAAAACACGTAATAATCAGGCTGTTGTTTTCACAGTATCGAACAAGAGCTACATTCTTGAATACCGTGTCATTGTGAAGAAGAACAAAAAATAGTCAAGTATCTTGGAGCGAAGCTTTTTTCACGGAAGTACACGGATCAGGGCGTATTGCTTTGCTTATCTTTGAGGCTGTGTCGAAAAGGATTAGTGTGAAGGCGACAAAGAGGTGTCTGGGCTAAACGTACATAAGCATTGTTGATGAGTGAAATGGAACGTCAAAACTTCTAAAATTACTGTTGTGATGTTTAGAAATGCTGTTTTCGGGGAAGACAAGAATGGTGAAATTGAAATTATCTAAGTTTGCAGGAAGTCAAAAACAGTAAATTTAGAAGGATTTTAAACGTGAGGTGATTTGTTTTTTATGTACCACCTTTCAATTTGGACACTACATTTACGTGTACACATTATGCTGTAGTATGCATATTTATTGATATAAAGTTATGTAACAAGCGAAGACTCACATCGGACACTCCACACGCATTTTGAAATAAATTGTTGCAAAACGTTTGAGGCTGATTTTATTGCAGAATTTAGTTTTAGATGCTCACCATGTTATCAACCCGTAATACGAACAACGGTCTTGGCATGTGGTCGGGCCGCTTAGTTAAATGGGCCCTAATGCTCCACACTGGTACCCTGGAAATTTGTTGAGGGCCCCGGCATTTTGTCTTGAACCATGCCGGAGCCAATGCGATTATCTACGCCGAATACGTTACCCTGCGTTCCCGCGAAAATATAGAAGACCGGAGTGGGGAAGGCACAACCGTTTACTAGACCGCTCAACCAAGTTGTGTCGTGTACAATTACGGTTCAGTGGACATGTACAAAAACACCCTGGCTCTGTGAGGTCACATGAATAAAACTGGTGGTGGGACATGCACAGGTGTTAATGGACCAATGGCTTCACGTGACTGACGGGCAGGTTGTGAAAAAAGGGGACATGTGTGAGGCTGCGACGACTGGGTGTTTAACGTGAATCAACACGATTCACTACAAATTGAAAAAAAAACGAGAAAAAACGGAAACAAATATTTACTAGATGGCTCAACCTGGTTCTGTTGTTGACAAATGTGTGCCTTTTAAAATTGGTGAATGACTAACGTGGTTACAAACCCAAGCCGTCAGAATGAACTTGTAGAGGGATAACTTGCTGACCGTCCAGGTTAGTGAAACGGGATGTGGAGTACCCGTGTAGACGCTCCCGCATGACTGGCAGGAGTGCTGTTGAAAAATGTCGAGAAAAACTTGATTCACTACAGCTATTTTATTACAATAAATGTGGATGTTTTGAAAATGTTTCTCATTGTGTTTTTATTAACAGAGGATATGGATGATATAGCGAGATGTATTGAATGCCATGTTTATAATTACATCAGTACCTCAATATCTACGTGAAATGTGAAGACATTTAGGTCATTTTAGAATCGAGATGAAGTATTTGTCATTGATTAATAATAGCGCACATTCCTAATTATAATGCTGCATTAAATGTTGCAAATTGGATTAGTAATTAACCCATTGTTCCCAACTTAAGCTAATTATTAGGTATGTGTTATGTCTATCATTCATTTACCTTTTTATTTTATTATAAAGGCACAGTACTAAAATAATCTTATTTTTATTATCGCCAATTTATATTTAGGATTGTCACCTATGATTTGTTTAAACGGCCCACATTTGGGGTTGCCTTTATTAATACATTAAAGCTCAATGTATGTATTTCTGTGATGAAATTGCGAAATGCTTCACACACCTTCTCTGATGGAGGAAATATCAGAAAACATATCTGGTGGTATTTCGAGCCTTCGACAAACTGAAAATGCTAACAGCCTGACTGAACCATCAACTATTCCATGTGGGCCGAACCCCAATACAGACAACATGGCTTGTAATAGCGTTGGTGATTTTCAGAAATCAATCGAATTTAAAGACCTTTCATATGCAGTTTTCCAAGGACGCGGCCTGCGTAAGCTGTTTTAATTTTTCTATTTTGTCATAGAACCGAAATTCCTATTAAAGTCTATATCTGGAACGTTCAAGAGTGGAGATTTAATAGCTTTGATGGGTCCCAGTGGTGCTGGAAAAAGCACCTTGTTAAATATTCTTGCAGGATTTAAAACGCGGAATATGTCTGGTCAGATCTTAGTGAATGGAAGACCGCGTAATCTTGCATCATTTCGTCGATCTTCATGCTTTATTATGCAAGATGCGCCACTCCTACCCCAGCTTACTGTAGAAGAAGCCATGACTTGCAGCTCGCATCTTAACTTGCCACGCTCTTGTTCAAGCGAGCAGCGACAAAAAATTGTAAGTTATAAATTAACTTTATAAACAGGAAATACGCATTTGTAGATGATATCTTGCGTCACATTTCCTACAATTTTAATAGTTATGTTTAGACACAATCAATTTTAGATTAATATTCTAAAGCTGACGTATTTTGCAATGAGTAAAACACAAATGTCGTTTGCATTTACCAAGAGGTGTAGTTTGTTGGCTTCATAAAATAAATTTGTGAATTAACGCAAAGTGCAAGGTTGTGTCAATCCCCGTCTAATAACCTTTAACTTAGTTAGCCTTTCTCGTTAATCTTGGCTTCCATAACTATTTGTTTTGGCAAAAAAGCTTTAAATTAGGACACTAATATTATAGTTTTAGTGATGTTTCTTCCTTTTATTGATATTTCATGTGTTGGACCAAACTTCCTCAACATTATGTGCACTATAAATTCTGTGTCATAAATTGTATTTGTATGTCCCACATCTCCTAGTTTTCGTGATTTAGATTGAGGAAATTTTACAGACCTTGGGTTTATCCGAGACTCGGAAAACACAGACGTCTGAACTGTCGGGTGGGCAGCGAAAACGTCTATCGATAGCCCAAGAGATGATCAATAATCCACCAATTATGTTTTTTGATGAGCCTACAAGGTAATTTAAAATTTAATTTATCTAATTAAAACGGCCATTTTCTTTATTATCAGAGACGGCGCATAACCATATTCCCTTTGGCAATCAAAGAAGCTGTATAAATTGTTTAATGCGCCTTATTTCTGATTCTGCATTTTTTTATACAACTTTGTGTACCGATAAATATTTTTAATCTTGGAGGCAATTTAAGCACCCGACTTTAATTACTTTAAAACATTTGTTCCCTGAGGCTTTTATCGCAATATTTTTTTGATATTTACTGTAAACTGTGACCCAATGTGGAACAATGGTAATAACTGAGGCTCTTTGTTGCGTTCAAACTTCTTTCTTACTTAGATGGAATTTAATTTATTGAATATCGGTGTTTATTCAAGCAGTTTTTTTCCAAATTTGACATTGTTAATTTATCTTGTCTCCAAATTCGTGAAAGCATCAGAATGACTTCTCTTTCATATCATTCCGCTGCGGAATTACCAATAAGAGAGTACTGCTTGTACCTAGCATATTAGTTTGTTTTATTTTCATTTTGTACCTTCATAAATAAAGCGGACTCGACAGCGCCTCAAGTTTACAGTGCATTGCGGCTCTGCAGACCATAGCCAAACAGGGTAGAACGGTGGTTTGCACTATTCACCAGCCCAGTGCTACTGTCTTCGGCATTTTTGACCAGGTAAAGATTTGGTCTTTCTTTCCTAATGAACCACTTATGTCACTGATTCCGCGCTATGCCATCAGGAAATGTATGTGCTGATTTCGTGTCTATTTACATAGGAGAAGGGCAAGTTGATTAGTTGGAGATCATGCATAGTTCCGTTATTGTCAACGCCCATTGTTCTTTATCACTAAAATGCATTATAAATTGCTTAGGCATCGTATATGCTTAAATTTGCAGCCAATTAAAAGCCATTTCAATGTCGTTCGCATCTGATATTTGCCCAGGGCAACCGCACATGCGCGCACTTTGCATTGGCGACGCGCACAGTTAGATTGAAGGGAAACTGAGCAGGTAATAGCATCTTTGTCTCCGCCCTTTGTCGTAGCAAAAGTTTCTTTTTGTGCGCAAATCCTTAGTTTTACTTTGAGTATCTTTTTATATGTAAGCCCTGGATGAGTAAAAGGCATTCCTCTCGGGTTAGAAATTATTAAAGTGTGCTCGATGAACGCGGTCTAAGGATCCGTCATTAGAAATGGCTGAGGAAGTTGCTTTCTTTTTTTTGGTTTCACGATAACGCAAAAATTCTGCTGTTTGTGTGCAAAAAACGAAGATCTGGGAGTTTTTTGATCTAATATTTTCCTTTGTAATCTGTAACTTTTAAATACTTCAGTACTCTGGTATCAACTCTTTACTTCTACCGTTCCTGTTAATTTGACAATGTTAAAGTTATCTTAGCATGTATTTCTAAGAGTCCATGTGTTCTTTTTTTATTGTCTGACACTCTTTTATGATCAGGCTATTTGTAGAAAGCTGTGTTTTCAAAAATATATCTATACTGAATTCCTGATTGCCACACATCTGACGCACTCCAAGCATGTAAACGATAACAATCGACTAGTGCAATCTTTTCTGTTGATTAAAAGTTAAAAGTTGTATACTTCATCGTTACTTGATGAACCTTACTCATGTGTTAACTGGATCTGAGCCATCTGGCTCATGTTACATTCAGTTTAGTTCTCTGAATTACACAGATAAAGACACAACCAGCTGTTAAATGATTGTGCAAAAACATTTGGCCGTAACAGTACCCCTAATTTGTTCCCCTTAATGTCTCTTACAATAAATCCTCCTCATTCGAGTTGTTGAATGCCACAAAACTTATACCTTGTATCCATGGTGTTTGAAACGTTAGCGTAACAAAGCTTTATTGTCTCTGGACACCAATTAAGTAAATTCGCACAAGCGATACTGCTTAGTGTTTCTCACCAATGACAAACTGAATGGATTAATTGTCAATTCGAGGCTGTGTTCGTTCGATTCAAATCTCCTGTGTCCACTTTGTAGCTGTACTTCCTGCTTGACGGACAGTGCCTCTATCGCGGTCCAGTGAGACAACTCGTGCCCTACTTGGCGTCACTCGGACTCCAGTGTCCGCGATATCACAATCCGTCGGATTTTTGTAAGTTTCGTTTGATTTTCTGTTCCTTTTAAATCCCCGTCCAATCGGCCAACCAATGGCAACACAGGCGGGATATTCAACTCTGACCAATGATGTATCGATTTTTCTACCGAGAGTACATCAATAGACTCTCCAAAATAGTGTCAAATATCGTCAACCTTAGGTCCATATTTTCATTTCACTCTCAGTAAATTCTTGAAGAGAGCTCTCATTTGGGGTGTTTTTGTCTTCGACGTTATCGATATATCGGTGTCAATATCTGTGAATTTTTTTCTCAAAAGTGATGGATTTGGCTTCTAACGAGCATGAAGTGGAGGAGTCAGCTTCGATTCTGCTCAATGCAGCTACCAATGGACAATTGGACCGTGAACTGACGCGATTACGAACCCCTAGCGTGTCCATCCCCACGGCGTCAGCGCCAACGGACAACGTAGATGGCGAGCGGTCCAAGGAGACACAGCCTTCATCCTATGTCGGCTTCGACGGGGAACACCAGAAATCCGTGCACAGAGAGTCGTCCATACTTAGGAAGACGGTAAATTGAATGCGGCGTCCGCATGATCGTAGATTGAACGGTTTTAATGCCTGTCGCCACCGTTCACACATAACTGCGCACATGTGCCCTTTGCAGATGAAAGAAATGCGTCATTCATGGGAATTTTGTGTGTGATAAACACCTCAGGTTTTCTTTTTTTCTGCACCAGGCCATCAAGGCGCCGCACAACCACTTATATTTCAGTGGGTACTTGCTCGGTTTCCCAAGAAAAGGCTGTGGTGCTTTCTTGTGCACGCTTTAATCCTTATTTCCTTCTCCCGAACTTGGATTCTAGCTCAAGGCAAACTTTTCTCGCGACTTAACCTGCTTTCGTCACATGTACTCAAGTATACTTTCTATACAGTGTGCCTGAAACAGCCCTTTGCAGAACCGTAGCTCGATTGCAGCACTTTAATTTGGGCAATTCAAAGTTTAAATCCTACGCCAAAATTTGTGCTGCATTCTGGTGTAACGGTTGACTAATCCGATCTCAGTACTTTAACTCCCAACCAATCAAATATCTAAATAAGTGGGTTGCATCAGTGAGCGTTACATCGCCTTAGCCACCTCTGTGGCCAAATTACTTCCCTTCGATAAGCCCTTTTTTGTTTGCTCAAATGAATTAAGTAGTATGTGTTGTTTTGGTCTTTTTTGAGCCAGACATGTGTTCATTCCGTGGAAGTAAGTTGATGGCTCATACATGCAAGGATGATTGTTGTTAGTGTTCTACCTGTTGTGTGTCGCCAAAATGTCGATGAAACATCCTTCGCGAGAACGACAGGCGAATCCCCTTTGATATAATTTTTCCGGGCGTGCTTGCATGATATAATTTTTTTATCTGGGGAAGGCAAAGGAAGGAAAGTAGCACGTCTTTTTCAAGTTAGTTTTGAGCTTAAAGTGAAGCAAGAACTGCTAGCAGATAGGGGCCTTCGTTTGTTCAAGTCGATATTATAGAAAAGCGCCATTTTCAAGCGTACTGGTTTAGTGGCGCAAACTGGTGTTCCTGTCGAGGGAACAGATGACGTTAAGCTAGGAACACCGAATCCATATTTTTCTAGCTCCCTAAATTTTTAACGATCCCCAGAAAAGCAATATTTCAAAGCGACTATCCACACATTTGCCGTTAGTGTGACCATTTCTCTAGCTGTAGCACCAGTAACCACTCTTTTTCAAAAATTGTAAGAGCATGGGTTTATAATGTTACCTTAATTAATTGTTAACTGGTTTCGACGCCCACCTATTCAATGCAGAATATTCAAGGAGTTGGTCCGTCGAAATAATTAATTTTGCGTTGAAGCTGTCTTTTAGAGTCAACAAAAACCGCATTTGAAAGACCTCCCATCCTCCACGTTCTTCGGGCTTGTAATCACCAAAAACTCATTTTCCATAAATTTGCATAAAATTGCGTTAAATATCGATAGGAACGTAAACAGATGGGTAGATGAAATGTTTGAGTTTTACAATTCACACTATAAAAACGTGATGGCGGTTCGAGAAATAAGCAGTAAAACATCAACAGCATAAGCACTTCGACATTTCCCTACTAGAGAGTGTAATAATTTTGAATTTGCTGACCCCCAACACCCAAAAGAATCATTAATTTAAGAAAAATGCGTCTCTGCGTCATATTTCTTGGGTGTTGATTAAAGTCATCAGCCGCTTGCTACCATGCCCTCCTAGTATCCTTCCGCTGCACCAGCGTCAAATCAATGAGCCTCTGCTTTTTTTGCATGAAACCAACACCTGGTGTCAATTTCACACCAGCCAACAGTGCAGAAGTTTGTTTTCACACCTAAAAGTACTTTTGTAGCGTGATTCTCGCCTTATTGTCCCTGGCCACATTTCAAATCCCCACCTGTTTAACTGAACAATCTCGCCTAACCAACAACTTCTTAATCAAACAGCTGCCTTTTCTCGTGAGTTGTCAGTTTGTTTCCTGTTGCGTGACATTCACTGTTTTCGTTTACTGCTGCCCTTGTTTCAACCCCATTACTGTTATAATTTGCACCACAGACAGTGCCTCACGCATTTACTTACGATTTTCTATTCTATCCTTGCTAGAACGAACACGGTGGACATTCCTTTGAAGTTGGCCTGCTTCATCAGACGCGCATCCTGACCAAACGAACCCTTCTCTGTATTTGGCGCGACAAAGTAAGCAAATCTGCCTATCCAATTGTCTCCAACTGGTCGTAAAGAGGTTTTGGGGTAAGCTGTGAAAGCAGAACACGCTGGAAGGGCTTGCTTACTGTCTTGATGTGGATTAACGAATCTGGTGAGTTCGTGATGTCCAGGGTGTGAACATCCCTGCGTTACCAAGTGGCCACATGTGTTCGCAACTCTGCAATCTAGTATTTGGTTTGTGACTGGTTTCTGTGTTGAATAAATCCAACCTTGGACGTTCAAGTAACGGTCCCAACAGGACTCTTCAATCAGATGGTAACTTGGACGATTTCGTCACCGCGTTGACGATAATTCTAGTAATGAGTAATCCTTTCAGGAAAATCACATGCCCACCTGTACTGACAACCTTTAGATTGATCGTAATGCACGATGCCTGAATCTTGGAGACAGCTGTTTTCTTACTACTGGAGACAGTCGTGTGACCTTGACCCCTTGTGGGTGACCCAATCACGGCCCTATTGACGAAGTGGGTATCAGCTGTTCCATAGAGCACTCCAATTTGATCGAGGTCTCCGAGATTCAACAGTTGATTTAAAAAGCAAGACCGGTTTGATATTTGTACGACAGAACTGTAACAGCCCGGGCCGAAATTCATGCAAAACGATTCCTCCCCATTCGCGGGCTGTTTGAGTTTTGAATTTGCTCCGATAATGTTGGTTAAAAAAGGATCTGTGGTAGTGTTGATTGCCTTCTCCCCGAGTTTGCTTATTAAATATTCCACCAGCAGACGGTTGTTCACGAATTGCATCAATTTCGGACTAATTCGAATTAATCTGATGAAGATACGGGCATTTCCTAAGTGTCAAACCGCGGACATTAATCCACAAATTTTGAACCCGCTGTATTAACTGCTCTGACAACAGTTAGCGATCAGTTTTGCCAAGAAAAATTAATTGGGTGTGCATTGATATTATTCGTGTTTAAAAATTAAGGAAACAACTCGAGTTCAGTGAAAATAGCGTGTGCGCATGTGGAAATGCATGAATTCGCGCTGTATTTGCCGATAAATGCGCACAGCCCTAAAGAAATTGGTTTCGTGTGATAATTTGACCTCCACAGAACCCATTTGCACGCATCCATATGGATGGGGCAGTCGACGGTCATTGCATAATTAGCTAAATTGGTATATGACACTCACAGCCACACATTGCGCCCTTGGAAATAAATCGTGTGACCTGTTGTCGGTGTCATTCCATGTCATCTCTTCTGCTTTGTGGCATTTTCGCTTGACTAAATGCTACACTCGGCGTCAGTTCGGCGTCGCTGACGTCTGCTATCAACTGTTTCATGCAATTCTCCTGGTAGGTAATTATCTGTGGCAGATTCTAAGTCCGACATGCTTGAACAGACTGCATGGGACAGGGTGGCAAGGAAACTGGCAGAAGTGTCTCAATCTTATTGTTTGAAACATCAGAGAATTCCACATTCGGTGAAGCCAAAAATTACGAATTAAACCCACGGAGGTGACTATTGCTGTTCTTTGAACACTCACTAGGCCAATGGTCTTTACCTCGACCGACGAGGACATGAGACGATAGTATCCCACCTACCAGATTCCTACCTGGACCCGTCACGAAACGACTTCTTCCCTCTCAGTTTCGTTTCCTCACTGCTTCCGTAAGACGATAGTCAAGCGTCAAATACCGCTGTTAATGAGACTCTTTGTGCAACGTATTCCACATATTTGTGGAGTCACTTTTAACCATTAACCAACTGCCCTACTTGTGCTGACAGAACGTGACACCACACGTCAGCCTCGTGTCTGATGCTAGTGTCATCTCGTCTCCGGTTCACTTTGGCAAGAAGACTAGCGCAAAAACGCCTCACGTTGACTAGGCCTCCTCGAAGATTTGTACACATTTACCCAATTTTTTCGTTGAGAGTCCATGCTACAGTGAATCCTGAGTAATGAGTGATGACTTTCAAACCGACAACGCCAAATTCCAATGGGTTCCTATAATTGTCTCTATGTTCTACCAAATTAATCTTGAGTTACACTAGACAAAGGTATTGTCAGTGAATGAGCCTCCATGGTCAGGTCATGTTTTATATGTAGTTAACAATGATTTCAATTAGAGATTTTCAGCCTAAAGCCTCACCAGAAACTCCGAAGTCTGTAGGACAAAGGTAGCATGGTTAGCCCTTCGCATATTCCACATACCTACAATCATGGTATCTGTCTAATTCAAAGCACTTGGCAAAGACTTCTTCAAAACACGCAGTGGTGTTAAACATGACGTGGGTCTAGCTTCGCTATTCCTTTTTTCAATCAGTAAGTTTTTTTTTAAATCTTTGCCCATCGTGGCATCTGTGGAATTAGTCAGTTTCATTGTGCCTTCCTTGCTTCCTCCGCTACGCCTACAACTAATTTTGGCTTTTCCTCGCCCCAGTCGCCACTTTCGGAGAAGCGTCGGCGCATCTAACTGCCTTCTTTTATGTTTCCATTAGCTTTGTGTGCAGAGTTGGGTGGGGGGAGGGGGAGGAGACGAGAAGGGAAAAACGAGATTTGTCATTTAGAAAGTGCGATTACATGCTGCAGCGTACCCCCCGACTAATGCAGCAGTGGAGCGGGCTTCAAGGTGCTAGCCAATTGAATTAACGAATTTACCTCCCCTTCTCTCTACCAGACCCTAACTCGGCTGCGCCTATTGGCTCACGTGGTGGTCGGAGTGCTGATAGGCCTGCTCTACTTCAACGCCGGAAACAACGGCTTCCAGGTGATCAACAACGCCGCCTTCATCTTCTTCTCTGTCCTCTTCATCATGTTCTCCTCGCTCATGCCGACTGTCATGACGTGTGAGTCGCTTGTGCGGTAAAAAAAGACTTACTCAATGCTGGAGCATTCTGCTGTTTCTAGAGTCCCCAAGCAGTCCGAATGATTGGTTCCAAGCCTAGTATCTCATGCAAAGGCAGTTTGTCTTCTTACTGAAGGGTTGTAGCTGCTTCTGTTTGTTATTGGTCATCCTCAGACGGCAGCATGACGAAACACTCGCAACGCACCCTGGCTTTGTGAATATCTTTCCTGGTGGTTTCCCTCGATCTAAGCACTAGGCTCTTTCCCTTTGATCTGATTCACCATCTAAAGTTTGTTTGCTCACAAATGGGGAGTTTTTAATCTAACTCCCACACGTACAACTAGGGGCTGATACAAAATCTGGCATTTTTTCCTGCCTGATTTAATTCCTAAGTGAGTGCTGAAAAAACTGTTAGCGCAAATTATTTTACCAAAAAACAGCACCTTAAAACCTGACTAATCACTTTAAGTGTCTTTTTAGCCTCATTTTGTGAAAGTTCTGCTAAAGACGCCGCCATAAAACCACTATAGACGTCTGGAAAAGCTCTACCTACTTAATACCGTTTCGAAAATTTCTTGTTTCAAAAAAACACGTGTGGTCTGACGTCGTCACTGGAAGGCACGGAACTTTTTCCGTGATCTAAAGACGTTAGTGGACAAGTTCTTCGGAACCCTAGTCACAGCTTACGCTGGCAAGCGAGCACATTTCATTTCATTCAAATGCTTGTTCTGAAAAAAAAATCGGATTTCGCAAAAACCCCCACACGCCGAGGCACACCTCGTTGCATCCTCTGTCTCAGAAATAGCTGACTAATTCATAAACCTATCGAGTCGCTGGCCACGGAACTTCGCTTCTCCCGATTTCCCCTGAACGCAAAAGGTAGTCCCGCGTTGTGGGAAAGTAGCCAATCACAAACGCGCAACTAGATGTACTCTCACCTCCATATACATTGCCTAGCGTGGCTTGCGTTAGCTTTGGTCAAACCCAGCTTTTGCGAATGCCCTGAAACAGAGATGGTCTCATTAGAGGGTTGTGTCTAGTGACGTCGGAAAACGTCTTTTTATAAAGTTGGAAATCACGATGCCTTCCGCGTTGCGTTGAACTGTGGTGTGCAGTCAATAGCGCACTCTATTAATCCCTCGAGCGTTTCCAGGGTCTTTAGAAACGTCAGGCAATTTTTACTAAAATTGGAAAAAAGATGTGGTATGTCGGGTGGCAAATTAACACGATAGTCCGTGCTTTGTCTAAATTTCAGTGTCAGATCTTGCTATTAATTAGCGCTTTGCGCATTACCAGTGAGTCGGATTTTTCAAAAGTGAAATGCATTTCGTTTGATTAATATTTAACGTCTGCATCGATAGGCGGCATTTATATACCAGTTTGGTGGCTGTTTCAGTCAAATTTGCGTAACCTTCCTATCCTTCTTCGTACAGCGGGTGCTTCGTGTCTCTGTGTAGTTATGAAGTCAGCCTTGGTTTTAACTAGATTCGAACTTACCTCTACTAAACTCCACTGCGTTTGCGTGCGGGATTGTGATCGGTGTTCCAGTATCAATTACTGCTTTCTTGTGCAGATTTCTAGATGAAATTCGCCTTTCATCACCCAAACCCGTCCATCATATAGGCCGCGATATTATCAAGTGGTGTCCGATTCCACAACAAAGCCCTAGCTTGATTTGTTTGTTCACCGGTGCGTATAAAATTCCTTGAAATCTGTAGCTCCAGCAACATTTTTACCCTTCTGAAGTTAGTAAAACGTCAAATTTATCAAACAAGCAATTTATCACATTTTTGCACAAGTTTGCTAGATGTAGTTTCCACAAAACGTTTTGGAGTTGTAAGGACCGTTCTTCAGAGTGAAAAAATTAACAAATAACGTTTCTTTTAGGATTAGTAGAAGCAGTGACAATTGTAAAGTGCGTGTGAAGAACCATGCTCAAAATCTGACCAATGACGTAACGCTGTATTTTAGTTCCCATTGAAATGCGCGTCTTCGTGACGGAGCACCTCAACTACTGGTACAGTGTCAGCGCCTACTACCTCGCTAAGACATTCGCTGACCTTCCATTCCAAGTTAGTCGTCTTCCTTTTTCTTCAAATTTGGGACACGAAGTTATCCATACTACTAGTAATTGGTTTCTAGTAGTGTGGATTGTATTAGGGTAGACGATAATCTGCGATTCTTTTTTTACTCCGTTTTCTATCTAGCAATTAATAGTCCGTTGTGGATAAGCACACCAAGGTTTGATTGTTCTTGGATTGCTTAAGAGCCGTCCATGACAATTTTCTTAAAAATCCCAGTACTTGTCGTATATTTTGACCTCTCTCAAGTCTACTTTTTTCGCTATTTTGTAGATTTTCTTCGCACTTATTTACGGTGTGATTGTCTACTTCCTGACGGATCAACCCAAAGATTTCGATCGTTTCATGATTTTTCTCACTATTCTCGTGTTAACGGCTTTGGTAGGGCAGGCCCATGGTTTACTCATTGGAGCAGCTACTGAATTGGAGGTGAGGACTTGGCTATTACCGAGGCAATTTCTGTAAACTCCTCAAATTTTTTTTAGAAAATTGTACAAACTTGCCCATGAAATGGTCATGTATGCACCCGTCTCACGGTATGTCATTAATTTTGCAAAAAATTGAAGTACAGCTCTCACGCCAACTCAGTCATTTGAAGTACAAATTTTCTCGGAAAAATTATGTTTTTCAGCAAACTGACCTACGAACACGTTTTTTTTTGCAATTTTGTAAACAAGTAGCGCCAATTTTAAGGTTTCTAATTTACCTTTTCAGACTTCAAACTTGTCGTTTCTTTTCAGTGCAAAAAGTCAGCCCGACAATCTACATGGTTCACTTTTCAACTAACATTTTCTTGCTCAGAATTTTTAAATTATTTGCTCAAAATGGAGACAGTGTCAAATTAGCGCCAAATTACGCTGTCACAAAAATTAATTTTGCAAGATTTGTAAAATAACTTGCTCCTGAGATAACATTCTTCGTAATTCTGACTTAAGTGACTCATTATACCAGGCGCTCGAATTAGCTCTTGAGAAAAGTGTGTCTGGTTTTCGAATCGCCATCTTATTTTTTTACAAGAAAATTATTTATTTATGCAGCCTTGAAATAGTTTAAACTCTTTAGAGTAAAAAGTTACAATATTTGACCGTTTAATGATGGTTGTCCGAGCATCTGTCTGGGGAACCATAAATTGCAATTTATAGGCTTCGGTGCCTTCTCATTGGTTTGTTTTACGATTTGGGCGAACCGTCCACAGAGAAATTAATGATTGGTTTGTAGCTTGTCAATAAATCGTATTTTAGTAACGTTGAGCAAGGTACCACTACCAAGCGTACATTTTTTGTCACGAACAAGATTTTTGACTCTGCAGCTACAATTTAGCGGGCCACAGTCTCACTGCTCTGCTCTCAGTTGAACATCCCCGCTTGTCACCCAATATGCTTCTCGCTAAAACGGAGCCAAGTTAACGAAACATTAAAAAATTTTTGTTTGAAAAAAAATTCCTAATGCCGTAGAAATTGTTGTGATTTTTTTTGCTCAAAAGAGTCACATTATAAAATAAAATTTCGGTGGTGTAGCTGTGGTAATGGTCCAAATTTGATATTTTCAAAATCACTAACTGTGTAATTGGTTGTCTAAATGTTGCTTAATTCCAATTGGTTAAAATCACCAAGTCTAGAGCCCTTTGCTGTACTTTTTGTTAATAATCAATAACAGGCCTACTATTTTCCAATCATGGAATCCAATTGGTTATCGGATGTAATAGTCTTCATAATGCATTTAATCCACGAATGTACAACTAGAACGTAACTGATATTCATGATAAATTTGTCTACCTATAATCAACCAATCAAAATTTTGTTCTTTGACATTGGTCGTTTTTGTAGGTGGCTGTCTTTTTGGGACCTGCAACTGGCATTCCGATAATTCTGTTTTCCGGGTTTTTTATAACCCTCGACACAATTCCAAAGTACCTCCAGTGGCTGTCCTACAGCTCCTTCACGCGATATGCTTTCGAAGGCTCAATGAAGGTGTGTCATTTCGTCTGTCCAATGAGATTAAGCGCACCTTTTGCGCGCTAATTTAAGGCTCACCCGACAACCAATCATATACCTCGGGTCGAAACTCACGAATTGGGGACTTGCTGCCTTTCAATAAATTATTTTTTTTGTTTTGAGTTTGACTGTTTCACCGCAAAATGACAACTTAAAATGGCAGTGTCTTCATGAATTTTCTGATTGGCTGATATTTGCCTGCAAGAACACGGCAACAATTTTACCGCAAATGTAAAAAATTGTTCACGAATTTTGTTGGTTAGTTAAGGGTACTTCCACTTGAATGTCAAAGCTAAGCGTGGCTGCTTTCATCAGTTAAAAAAACGAATTTTTTTGTAAAAACATTCCTACCTATGAATTTCCTGTTTATGCACGATGGTTACAGATTTTTTTCAAAAAAAAACTACAGAGAGTAAGTTAGTATTGCTGACCTGTAACCTAGATGAGCGTATTGCTGCAACATTCCACTTCATATTCAACGACGAGACCTCGTTTTTTCCACTCAACACCAAACAGCACCTTCTATGCGGAGTGAGCCAATGGGGTGATTGCGCTCTCAATGCGAGCGATTTGAATTGGTGTGTATAGGGAGGGTCGATAAATTTTACGATATTTCAATTCGCGATTAAATTAAAGGCAGATAATTTGTGGAACTGTTCTTAACGCATCAAAACTAATCTCACTAAAATGATGGTGTCTGCAAGACACCACGTTATTTGCCAAGGTGCCTGCATTTTAGTTATTGCATTAAAACTTTTATCTCCTCAAATACCCTACCTACATCCATATGACGACGCCTTTGATAAAAAAAAGGGTTCGTTAACTAATAGTTTCGTCTTTTACTTCAGAGCATCTACGGTAACAACAGGAGTGTGATGAACTGCATCAAGAAACCGTCGGTCAGCCCCTCGCTACCATGTATCAACGAACCCAACTCGGTGCTCACCCTACTTAGCATTAGCCAGTACCACTACGGAATTGACTTAATTGTGCTCAACGTGTTCTTTTTTGTTTTGCGTATTCTTTGCTACTTTGTGCTCAAATGGCGTTCTCAAAATTCCATCTAGGCACGTGTTGCGCGATAACACATACTGGCTCGGATCTCGCCAAGCCGTTGCACAGCGCCATCAAAGCATCATTGATCGGTATTATTTTCTTTAAGACTTTATTTATTTAATTGGATTTTTATTTGTTCCTGCACCTGTACCTCCTTCTTTATCTTCAGTCGCGATTCCTAACCAGTGTTTTGAAAGTAAAAAAGCAATGTTTGCTGTCTCCCCAACCAATCACGGGTACTTTTGCTGATATCCATTCAGTAGCCTGTTGTTTTCTGATGAAAAAAAAACAGCTTCAAACTTGCTGTTTTGTTAATTTAAGTATATGTCGGAAAGTCATTTGGAAATGTTTGCAAAGTGTATGTCGATAGTGTTGTAAAGACCCAACGGTAGGTTTAGCAATTATCTCTCTCCGAAAATTGTAGGAAAAATTCTTTACAGAGTATAGGCCTCGTGGAAAGATATTTTTACTTTTAACGCATGAACACATACCTTCACATGTGAAAAATTGTGCAGGTTATGAAAGATATATTTTATGAGAGAATTTCAATCGTATAATTCATAGATAGATCCCTGGCAACACAGTAATACATAGACAATGAAACAGCGCAACGACTTAAAGATGATTCACTTATGTATCTCATGGCACATTGTCTCCTTAACTGAAGGCCTAGCACACGCTCCTAAGCGGTGTGAGTGGCTTTCATTTCAGAAGTACACTTAGAAGTGATTGGACCAATAGGAAGAGCGCGGTCGATTTGAAAACAGAAGACTGTGTGCATAAATGCGCATAGCAATGATAAACAAAAAATTGTCAAAATATTCGTGACATTAAAGTGCTTCCGACTTATCGACTGTAGTGACTTATTTAAGGCATCACCGACTTAGCAATAACACATGAACAAACCACAACTTCCAGTTACCTTGGTAACGTTATACTATACTGCCCTCCGATTAGTCACACTCACCATCACTAAAATGAGATTAACAAATTTGAACTCAATAAATTCCTCCTCTAATTGGTTATTCCTAATAAGCACCAACTAACAATGGTCCTGACAATTACTTCCCATATGTGGGTGACGCTAAAAACGCCGACGCCGATGATTGGTCACGACGACGCTGCCGAGATTGGCGGTCTCAAGGTCATTCAGACTAAAATCATGAGTCACGTCTCCACCTAAGTATGCGTAGCCTGTGTCCAATTGCGGTAGAAGCGAATCAAACAACGAGAAGCGCTCGACCTGTCCACTTCCCATGCCCCATTATTGCGGAAAAATGTTCATATCAATTCATAAAATCACTTATTTCATTATTTGCAAACACCTACACACCAATCCTGAAGCACACACCTTGAGGATGTCGAAAAATCATGGCTAAATAACTTGCCGCATAATGCTTAAGATTTGTGGCTAGAGAGGTGCAGTAGGGAAACGCCCATTTTAACTTTGGACATTGCACCATTTGGGGGAGGCCACAGAGCAGAGGCTTCCCACGACCTCAACACCAGTCACTTGAAGCGTACTTGTAACCATCGTTCTAGGTGCGTCTTTTTCCTTACTGCAACCTAATTCGTTAGTCGGGCTCAGAGTTGACATGGCCACGTTAGTGGTTTTTTCAGCACTTCATGACTCACTACAGTGCTCCAAAATAAGACAAATGCCAACAAGTTAGTCGAATGGAAGTATTAAGTTAAAGGAGAATTAATGAGCTGAGCGTCCAGAGTTTCAATGACTTAGCATATCGGTAATTTTTTAAATCTAGGTGAGGACTCAACGCAAACACAACACAAAAGAATAACAACGAAGCTGGTCTTGAAAGGATTGTCTATTCTTTTACATGACCTCGCGCGATATCTCAGGTGATTTACAAATGCCGTCGGAAAAGACGCTTACAGGCTACGAGCAATAAAGCCTTTGACGACGAAATTACGCACATCGTCTCCATTGTGCTGAACTGTTTATCCACTAAGGCGTGCGGCTGCATTGACCGGAACAAGTAGGTGGTCTGAAGGGGCCAGGTTTGGAGAACTTCCCATCCAAAATTCAAGACGATCGCCTGAGTCGCGCGAGCAACGTGAGGTGTTCGAGCGTTGTCAGGCAGCGGTAGCAGTGTGACTTACCTTCTTCCTTTTCTCGGTAAATGGCCGTTTTGAATCAAGTTCTTCACTCAAATTGCTTAATTACCGGCTGTAGAGTTGCGCAATCAGCGTCTGACTTCCAGTTTCCGTAAAAATTTGTAGTAAAACACACCCTTCATGTGCCACCAGGTACACAGGAGAACCTTCTTTGAGTAGGCTTCCTGTTTTGGCATCACCATACTACTGGGTTGCCGGGGATCTACTTATGACATTTTGCTTTTAGGATTCTCACAAAAAAATATTTTTTCACAGCCTGAACAGGTATTTCACAAGTATTTCTTTTCTCGTTGCTGGCGGACAAGCAGTGAAAGGCATGAGTTCATGCGTTGGTCTAGGGTGTGTTGCGTTAATGCATGTTAGACCCAGCTTCCAGGATTTTGAAGCATTCCCGTTTGGTTCAAACCGCTAGAAATATATGTTTGGTTAACTCTCAACTAAACTGCAAGCTCGTGTTGTGTTTGCGCTGAGCCTTCAGCTAGTAAAGCTTGCAATATTTAAAAAAAATTACTGAAATGCTAAGTCATTGAAACTCTGGACGCTCAGCTCATTAATTCTCCTTTAACTTAATACTTCCATTCGACTAACTTGTTGG